CATTCATAAAATGAAAATGGTAGAGTATCCGTCTCCTGGAATCAGCATTCCCAGGTGATACATGTGACAAGTGAGCACTGGTGAATGATGTCTGGTGAGTAGCGAGCACTCCCTTTACAGCACTATGATTTTAGGAGATCTGACTTATGAGGGCTTTAGAATAGGGCCTGGCACCAAATAACACAGTAATAATAGCAATCATAGTAGTAGTGTGCTTAGGTCGCTCAGTCATGTCCAACTCTTTGCAACCCCATGGACTGTAGCCCGCCAGGCTCCTCTGTCTATGGCATTCTCCAGGCAAGAATACTGGAGTGGGTAGCCATTCCCTTCTCCAGGGGATCTTCCAGACCCAACGATCAAACCTGGGTCTCCTGAATCACAGGTGGATTCTTTACTGTCTGAGCCACCATTATTGGAGATCTGACTTATGAGAGCTTTAGAACAGAGCCTGGCACCAAATAACACAGTCATAGTAGCAATCGTAGAAGTAGCGTCATTTTTCACACTGTCCTTGATAAATTGTCAGTTGGCATGTCTGCATCAGTGAGAAATAGGTGTGTCCTTTGCTTTCAAATTCCCATGGACCAACAAAGAGCAGGCACCTAGTAAACAGCTATTGAATGAACAAATGAACAGATTCTGTTAGGCTCTACAAGGCACAAAAGTACATTCAAAAGTCATTGTTCCATGCAGAAGGCAAAATTAAGCTGGTCCGAAGGCTCTAAGACAAGGGCCAGATAGTACATTTTCAGGTTCCATGGGCCACAGGCGTTCTGTGGTAACCATTCAACTCTGCCGTTGTCGTGGGAAAGCAGCTACAGACAACAGGTAAATGAATCGGCATAGCTGTACTCCAATCAAGTTTTATATATGCATACTAAAATTTGAACTTCATGAGGTCATAAGGTGTTATCCTTTTGATTTCTTCCCCCTTCCCCGCCACCACCGTCACCAACTACTTCAAAAAATGGAAAAACAATTCTTATCTCGCTAGGCATTCAAAAATAAGGGGCTGTGGAGAAGGAAATGGCAACCCACTCCAGTATTCTTGCCTGGAAAAGTCCATGGACAGAGGAGCCTAGCGGGCTGCAGTCCATGGGGTTACATGACTGAGCACTCGTACATGAGGGTGGAGGGAGATGGGTTGGTAGCAATAAACTGGAAAAACTTAAAATACATATATATATATATATATATATATAATGGGCTAGTTCGATTTGGCCCGGGATATGGAGAGGCCCACCTTTGCCCCACTGATTAGGCGGGCTAGATCTGGCTCCGAGGAGCGCGCAGACAGAAAGGCGGGCCTTGGAATGGGTCAGGCAAATGGGCGGAGCGAGGGCGGGGCATCGTGTCCTGCGTGCAGTTGGGAAGGGCAGACCCGATTGGTCTACTCCAGCGGCGGAGAGGTAGAGGCGTGTTCGACATCCAGCCCATCAGCGCAGCGCTGCCGCCTCGCCCCGCCTCGCGCAGGCGTCTTGGTGACACGGAGAGAACGCCACGCCCCCTTGTGCGCCCAGAAGGGACTTCCGGGACGGGCTCGCAGTGACGTCAGGAGGAGGGCAGGTAAGTGCGGGAGGGCAGAGGGGCGGGCAGGCCCGGTTTGGCTAGGGGGTCTGTCCACTTCCTCATCAGGTCTGTGAGCCGCCCGAAGGAGGCGAAAGTGCCGGGTCCGCGGAGCTCTGCGGACGTGGGCCTGGTGATCGAAGCCCCCCGCGACCCAGCCTTAACCCCCTGCCCCAAACCCCGGACCCCGGCCCATATTCGATACCTCTTCAGGTTTTCCTCAGGGACAGTAAACCCCTACCTCTCTGCGTCGTGGTGAAGATTTTGTAAAATGACGCTTGTAAAATAGTTTGTCATGAGAAAGAATAAAAACGACCATCGTTTAACTTGGCATCAGGCGCTGTTCTAGATCCTTATTTAACTCACCGAGTCTTGACAGCAGCCTTATCAGGTTGATACTTTTATAAACCCCATTTTACAAGTAAGAAAACGGAGGCTCAGAGAGAGAAGGAATTTGCCTATACTGCTAGAAAGCAGCAGAGTCAGGATCCAAGCCCCAGCATTATGCCCTGAGCCAATGGGATTTATCATTATTCTTGACACCAAAAACCAGAGATTTCTGTACATCCTCCCTATAGTCCAACCTGTGCCACTCGCTGGGGTGATAAAACCACTGAAAGACCCCAACTCCTGTAAATGGAGTGCTTACTCTGTGCAGGCATTACCCAGTATGTTATTTCATTTACAGCAACCACAGAAAGTCCTCCTGCTGTCATCCACTCTACAGATGAGGAACTGTACGCTCAGGGAGGCTCAGACATTGGCCAAGGTTCCCCAGCTAGTGAGGAATGGAGCTGGAGTTCCAGCCCAGGGAACTGTGTGTCCTTAAAGCTGGGGTCTTGAGAGTCCCTTGGACTGCAAGGAGATCCAACCAGTCCATCCTAAAGGAAATCAGTCCTGAATATTCATTGGAAGGACTGATGCTGAAGCTGAAACCAATACTTTAGCCACCTGATGCAAAGAACTGACTCATTGGAAAAGACCCTGATGCTGGGAAAGGTTGAAGGCAGGAGGAGAAGGGAACGAGAGAGGATGAGATGGTTGGATGGCATCACCGACTCGATGGGCATGAGTTTGAGTAAGCTCTGGGAGTTGGTGATGTACAGGGAAGCCAGGCATGCTGCAGTCCATGGGGTCTCAAAGAGTCAGACACTACTGAGCGACTGAACTGAAAGCTTGGGTGGGCACTTGCAGTTTTGTTAGTGTTTTTAGTTTGGAAGTGACTTTAGGAGAATCTGGTCCAGGGGCACACATTACAGGTGGAGGATCTGAGGTGTAGAGGGGCTCAGGATGGGATGGTGGAAGACTTTATATCGGGGGCTTTTCACCCTGGCTCTGCCTTCTCGTCGGCTTCTGAGCTCGGGCAAGTTATTTAAGCTCCCACGTGCTCGTTTGTCAGCTGGAGGTAGTAATAACATCAGTGGAGCGGGTGACACATAGTAACTATTAGCATACAGCTAAGTTGGCAGAAATTATTAGAGGCTTCCTGACTAGCGCAGGGAGCCAGAAAACTACACTCACAGGCCAAAATCACACCACCGCCTGATTTTGTACAGCCCGCCAGCATGAAATGGTTTTAACTTCTTAAATGGTTGGGAAAAAAATCAAAAGAAGGATAATATTCTGTGACAGGTGACAGTCCTGCGAAATTCAAATTGCAGTGTCCATAAATAAAATTTTGCTAGGATGCAGCTACAGCCATACATTAACATACTACCGGCTACTTTCTGGCTGAGGCAGCTCAGTTGAGTCTTTGGGACAGAAATGCTGGCCCTCAATGGAGAAAATTTGCCAGTCCCCATTATGGACTATACTTTAGTCCCTCATAATGTCTATTCTCTCTCTTTTAATTTCTTTTATTTTTTTTAATTGAAATACAGTTGATTTACAATGTGTTAACTTCTGCTTTACAACAGTGTAATTCAGTTATACATTTTACATATATATATACACATTCTTCTTTAAATATTCTTTCCCGTTGCGGTTTATCATAGAATACTGAATAGAGTTCCCTGTGCTATACAGTGGGACCTTGTTGTCCATCTATCTATAATAGTTTGCATCTGCTAACCCCACATTCCCATAGCGTTTCTCTTTAGCATCAAGTTGAACTTCCTTCTGTTTGATTGGAAAGTCTCTCTTCTGAACATGCAGGGAGAGGGAGTCTCCCCACCCCACATTAAAGGAGCCCAGCATTTAACACCTGTGTCATTGACACTGCTTCTTATGGAACCTCAATCAATTATCAGAGGTTCACACAGTCAGCATTTATCAGGAGCTGTCCGGGTGCCGGAGATGTAGCACAGTGTGACCTGGCAGAGGAGACAGACTGTAAACAAGTAAGCAGACCCAGGGTGACATGATAGAAACTCCAGGGAAGAAGTGACTTGAGATCACGTAGGCAGGTGAGGCCTCCCACTGAGGTGATGTCCGAGCTGAGATCCGTGACAAAGAACAGACTTGGTAGAACGGCACTTGAGGCAGTTGGCCTGCACCTGCTGAGCTGTCTGAGGCAGGGAGCCAGTGTGACTGGAGCAGAGTGAGGGAGAAGGAGAGGGGTAAGAGTTGGGCTTGGGGAGGCAAGCAGGGGCCCCATGGGCCATGGAAAGGGACTCGACTTGATTCTCAAAGCCCTGGGAATCCCTGGAGGGCTGGGTTTTGTTTTTGTTGTTCTTTTTGTTGTTGTTGTTGTGCTGGGTCTTTGTTACTGTACAAGGTTTTCTGTAGTTGCGGTGAGTGGGGGCTACTCTGTAGTTGCAGTGCTCCAGCTTCTTGTTGCGGTGACTTCTCTTGTTGCAGAGTACACGTTCTAGGGCACCCAGGCTTCAGTAGTTGCCGCCCATGGGCTCAATAGTTGCCGCTCCTGGGCTCCAGAGAGCAGGCTCCATAGTCGTGGCACAGGGGCTTAATTGCTCTGTGGCTCATGGGATCTTCCCAGACCAGGGATCGAACCCGAGTCTCCTGCATTGGCAGGTGAATTCTTTACCCCTGAGCCACCGGGGAAGGGTTTTAAGCCCCCTGGAGGGTTTTAAGCAGGAGAGCTGTAGTTCAGATTTATATTTGAAGAGATCCTTCTGGCCCTTATGAGGAGAACAGACCGTGAGAGTCAGGGACAGAGCCAGGAGCCTAGCGAGGAGGTGACGGTACTCCTCCAGGCGAGGGATGATGGGGGCCATGGAGGAGTGAGAAGTGTCAGCTGGGAAATATATGTTGGATGGAGAGTGGACAGGACATTCCCTTTCCAAACAGCCAATCACCCAGATGCCTCCTACACCCGGGGGAGGACCACCACGCACAGCCCCCCACGTCTTCACAGGGAATCTGTGGACTGCTGGGCTGTCCAGAAGGGCAGCACAGCAGTGAGTCAACAAAGCCGTGTCTCATCTTTTCAGATTGGCCACGTGGAGGGCGAGGACCTCTAGGCAGCTACCAGGATGGTACGTAAACGGACTGTGCTCACTGGGTTTCTCTTCTGGTCTTTGATACAGGGAAGGGGCCCCCTGAGTAGCCTCCTCTCTCCCCTAAAAGTCCCCTTTCCCATCCCTACCCCTGACCCCAAGCTCTAAGGTATTTTTAAACTCTGCATCAAGGTCTTTTCAATGCATGGTTTCAAACTTTGTGCATGCATGCATGCTGAGTCACTTCAATCATGTCTGACTCTGTGTGACCCTGTGGACTGTAGCCTGCCAGGTCTGTCCATGGGGATTGTCCAGGCAAGAATACTAGAGTGGGTTGCCATGCCCTCCAGGGCATCTTCCTGCCCCAGGGATCAAACCCACATCTCTTGTGTCTCCTGCACTGGCAGGCGGGTTCTTTACCCCTGGAGCCACGTGGGAAGCCCAAACTTTTGTGTGTGCTAAAATCACCCCAGGAGCTTTTTGTTTTGCTTTCCTTTTTTAAAAAATGAGGTGAAATTCACAAAACATAACATGAACATTTTAAAGTATGTGATTCAGCAGCATTTAGTGTATTCACAATATTTTGCAACAACCACCTCTCTCTAGTTCCAAAACATTTCCTTCGCCGGCAAATGGAAACCTTATACCCAATAGCAGTTGCTCTCATCCCATCCACCCACACTCCCAGTCCCTGGCAACCCCCAGTAGGCTTCCTCTCTCTGTGGATTTGTCTGTTCAGGACCTTTCATGTCAACTGAATCGTGACCATGTGTCCTTTTGTATCCAGTTTCTTTCACTTAGCAGGATGTTTTCAAGGTTTATCTGTTAAAACATTAGAGCAGGTATTAGAGCTTCCTTCCTTTTTATGGCTCAGTAATATCCCATCACGTGGTTGGACTACAGTTTGTTTATCTATTCATCCATTAATGGACACCTGGGTTGCTTCCACCATTTGGTTATTGCAAACAAACATGTATGCACAAGAATGTGTAGAAACATGTTTTCCAGGTTGCTTTTGAAAAGCCCTGTGTCCTGTGGCTTCCCTGGTCAGGGAACAAGATCCCAGGTGCTACATCTAAGACCCAGTACAGCAAATAAATAAGTTTTTTTTTTTTCAAATGGGCTTCCCTGATGACTCAGTGGTAAAGAATTCTTCTGCCAATGCAGGAGACGCAGGTTCAATCCCTGGGTCGGGAAGACTCCCCTGGAGAAGAAAATGACAATCCACTCCAGTATTCTCCCCTGGAGAATCTCATGAATAGAGGAGCCTGGTGGGCTACAGTCCATGGGGTCGCAAAGAGTCAGACATGACTTAGCGACTAAACAACAACAACCACCGCCCCAAAAAATAGAGAAGGGAAAAACCCTGTGTCCGGGCACCAGAGCCGGTGCTGTGTTAGTCCGTATTTTGGAAACTCCTCGGGGACTTCCCTGGTGGTCCGGTGGCTAAGATTCTGCCCTTGCAATGCAGGAGACCCAGGTTCGATCCCTGGTCAGGGAACTAGATCCCACCTGCCGCAAATAAGACCTGGCACAGCCAATTAAATAAATACTAAAAAAATATATAAATGTATGGTTGTAACGTGCAGCCAGGTTTGAGACCCACTGCTTTGACAGATCATTCAGTCAATTCAGCGGGTGGCTGCTAGCATTTAAAAGAGAGACTCTCACAGCTGGATGAACATTCTTTCCTGAAACCCATGCTTTGACTGTATTACGTGTGTATGTGGTGTTAAATATGTCTTATTTTAAGTCACAGTCCCAAAATAACCATGAAAGCCATTGTTCTAGGAGAGCCTGACCCTCGTGGAATTTTCCACAGCAATGGCGGTGGAGCATGTCTTGTTTTGTTTTGTTTTGTTCTTTTGGCGGAGCTGTGGAGCTTGCAGGATCTTAGTTCCCTGGCCAGGGATTGAACCTGGGCCATGGCAGTGAAAGCACCAAGTCCTAAACCCTGGACTGCCAGGGAAGTCCTGACAGTGGGTTTTTTCTCCCTAAGTCTCCAGTCCTCAGCCACACATCCTCCAGGAAGTCCCTGTCTCCCTCATCCAGGTCTTGCCCCTTGAGGCTGCACAGGTAGGTCTGCTGCAGGACCCACCCTAAGTCATGTCTCTCTTCTGCTTTCCAGGGTGAAAGGAAAGGCGTAAACAAGTACTACCCTCCAGATTTCAACCCTGAGAAGGTAAGGGGCAGGCTTCCTTCTCCGTGTCCACAATACCAAGTCAACCCCACTGGGCAGGGGCCCACACACATCGTCCCCTCCTGGAGTCTGAACCACAGCTGCAGAATCCCAGGCAGCCTGAGAAGCCTCCCTGCCTTACGCTCATCACCTGGGTCTCGGGGCAGCCTTCCCTCCTGGGTGGTCAGTATGGTCCTCAGCAGACCTAGCATTGGGTGTGGCGTGTTTCCAGCGGAGCCAGGATGAGATCCCCTTGCCCTTCCGGCTCCAGCTCCACTGGCCTCCTCATTGTTCCCTCTGCTGGGAATTTCTGCCTCATTTTGACCCACGAGGCTGCTTTCCTTCCTTTAGGTCTCTCCTCACAGAGGGCCTCCCTGACCACCACCTCATGTTCTGTCCCATGACTGAGTGCTTTATTTCTCTCATAGCTCCCACAACTCCCTGACACATGGTTTATTTCTTTGCATATTATCCATCTCTCCACCTGGAATGTCTACTGCTCAAGGCCAGGGACGTGCATCTGTCTCGTTCAGGCTGTGTCCCCATGCTGGGTGCTCACTGTGGGCCTTTGAATGAATCAGAGCTTCCTGGCTGGTGCTCCCTGCTGACTCGGCCTTTCTATGCCACAGTCTCCCCGTAGGTCCAAAGGGGCACCAAAACGACCTGGCCTCCCAGAAACATGGAGGGATTAAAGTGAGACGAGGCCCATAAAGTGCCTGGCAGCCATTTGCCAGTCTAGTCGCCTCACCCAATCCCCCCCATGACACCCGAAGGCAGTTATGATCCTTGTCCCCAGTTGACTTGGAAAACCAGGCTCAGAAAGGCAAAAAGATGAGGTCACCGCCCAGGGTTGCACAGCTTATTTAGCTGCACCCTCTTCACCAAAGCCTCTGTGCCTCCCGTTTGTTGTTAACGCTTCCAGTGGAGCATAAGAATGAGGCCTCTCTCAGCCTCAGAAGGCCTGAGCTCCCCCCACTCAGCAGTGCTAATCTGCTCCCTCTTCCTTACCACACAGCATGGCTCCCTCAACAGATACCACAACAGCCACCCACTTCGGGAGCGGGCTCGGAAGCTGTCCCAGGGCATCCTCATCATCAGGTAAGGCCCTGATTGTCACCTGGGGACCTCGGTTCATTGTGTCACTTGGCATCAGCCTCAAGGGGAACATTCAGGACCCGCTGATTTTTCCCAGAGCTTCAGGGTCTTCATTCCATAAAGCAGAAAGTTGCTGTTATCAGTCAGCTGTTGCCACGTAACAAAATAATAAGCATGTATTATCTGTTGCTCCTGAGTCTACAACTCAGCTGAATGCCTATGCTAGCCTTGGATTGGCTTGGCTGATGTGGGCTGGGCTCTCACATGTTTGGAGGTTGCCTGGCTGGGGACTGGCTGGTCCAGTGTGACCTTGGTTGGTAAGACTGGGCTCCGTTCCAAGTGGTTTTCATTCTCCAGCCAGCTAGCCTGGGCCTGTTCATACAGCAGCATCCAGGTTCCCAAAGAGCCAGCACAGGCACACATGCCTTCTTGAGGCAGGGACCCTGAGCTGGGTACCCTATCACTTCTGTCTCATCAGTTCCCCAAAGCAAGTCATGAAGCGGGGTGGGGGGCGGGGCAGGACACTCCACCTCTTCACAGGAATCGTGCAGAGGCACCTAGCAAAAGGCACAGACGTGGGGAGCATAAAGAATCTAAGCCTTTACTGCAGTCGAGCCAGGACGACAGCCCTTCTTGCAGGGTTCTCTTATTTCTGGCCAGCTCCCTGTGGGTTGGCTGTGGAACGAAGCAGAAGCCAGCGTGCGTCACCCTCTAGGGTGAGCCCCTCACTGTCTCCTTTTCTGCCTCGTGGACTCTACCCTCAGTCTCTGGGGTTCACCCTGGGCCTGAGCAGAACATCCAGTAGCAAATCCATCAGAGGCAGGAACATCTATGGAAAAGGAATCAAGATACATATCCCGGAAGAGGCCACGGGAGGCATGGAGCTGAAGGTCACCTCCAAACTCCTACCATGCCCCCATACCCCAAAACCAACCAAGTGTGCCTGCCTTGGGCCTGCACCCTGTTCTTATCCACTGTGTCTGCAAAGCCTTCAGTTCATAGGCTGTTGTTGAGTTGATAAGTCATGTCAGACTCTTTGCAACCCCATGGACTGTAGCCTGCCAGGCCCCTCTGTTCATGGGATTTCCCAGGCAAGAATACTGGAGTGGGTTGCCATTTCCTCCTCCAGGGAATCTTCCCAACCCAGGAATCAAACCCACGTCTCATGTCTCCTGCATTGACAGACAGCTTCTTTACCACTGAGCCACCAGGAAATACCGCTATCTCATATGTACTGTGTCTTAAATTCACCTCTTTATTCATTACTTAATGGCTTTGTTTTAAAAGAAAAGCTCCATCACTACCATTAATGGAAATTTAGCAGAATTGCATGCTGAAATAGAGCTGGAAAAAAGAGATCCAGGGACAGTACAGTAACTTAGTGAAGATGGAATAGGTCACCAGGGCTCCCTGCAGCCTGTTTCCTCCTCTGCTTGGAAGCTTGACTAGCTGACAGGGAGGGATGTGGGAAGACAGGGCAGCCCCCACTGGAGGCGCTCTCCTGGACTCAGTCAGCTGGCCAGAGAACCACGTGATAGACCTGGCCTGCCTGCAGGAAGGGCCACTGTTTTTTTGTTTGTTTTCATTTTGGTTTTGTATTTGGCCATGTCATGAGGCATGCAGAATGATGGTTCCCTGACGGGATCGAACCCAGACCTCTGCAGTGAAAGCACCAAATCCTAACCACCAGGCCACCAGGGAACTCCAAGGCCACCATTCTTTATCCTCCCACATCCACGCCCTTTGCAGCGTAACTGCAGCCAGAGTCTCAGGCATGGAGACCCAGGGAGAACCCACGTGGACAAGGACAAATGAGCTGTTCTCTGTTTGTGTAGGTTTGAGATGCCCTATAACATCTGGTGCGACGGCTGCAAGAACCACATCGGCATGGGTGAGCTTCTGCCTGCTCCCCACCCCGCCCCCCCACTATTCAGCCCCACGGCCAGCGAGCCCCTTAACTTGCTGGGTGCTGTAAGAGACCATCTCGCTGATGCTCTAGTCAAGAGTCAAGGAGAAGATAGGCCCCCCGCCGCCACTCCCAGTAACTGGTGGGCTGTGGCCACTTGATGGCAGGGCAGTTAGGAGGCTCTGGGTTCAGATCCCGTCCCTGCCACTCCCTAAGCTGGGTAACCCTTAGCAGGCAACAGAGCCTCCATGCGCTTCGGTTTACGCATCTGTGAAATTCACATGATATGAGTGTCCGCCTGCATGGCATAGAAAGTGCTTAGTGCAGAGAAAGAAAGAAAGAAGGGTGGGCTTTTATTATTTTTCTAGAGAATATCCAGGTTTTGCGGGGTTTCTTTTTCACTAATTAGATGATATATTCTGGGCTCTGATCTTACTTACTAAGTGAAAAAGGCTTAAACTCCAAAAACAGAACTTGGAGTGGTGGATAGTGTGGCCCCACTGGGTTTTCTTTCCCTGGGAGGCTGGGGACTGCTCCAGTTCACAGCCCCGAGGGTCAAGCTGAGCCCTGCTGTTTGTGCCCTGAGAGCCTCGTGGCCTTTGGAGCAGCTGTCCCTGGCTGGGTGTGATCAGGGGGATGCGTTAGAGGGGTCTCTCAGCCTCAGCAGTGGGGTGACCTGGCCCCTGCTTCTTGCACTGGTCCCTCCCTCTGAAAGCCACCAGCTCCTGTTTATAGAGCAAGCTCTCCGCTGGGCTGGGTGCTGTGGGATGGGCTGGGGATGTCTGCACTGCAGAGAAGGAAACCCAAGCCAGGGGGGCTGAGTCACCCACCCCAGGCCTCAGACCCCTGTCTGTCCATCCATCTGTGGGCACAGTCAGGGGTTCGAATGCTGAAGGTAACAGTAAGAGCAGTGGCAGCGGCAGGTCACGTCTGCAAGCCCTCGCACGTGCCCACGTGCTGTGCGCTAAGCACTGTATTCATTTCCTGCTTTTAGGCCGCGCAGTGCGGCTTGAAGGGTCTTAGTTCCCCAACCAGGGATTTGAATCCATGCCCCCTGCAGTGGAATCAAGGAGTCCCAACTACTGGACTGCCAGGGAAGTCCCCAAAACCAGCCCTTTTGGAATGATCACTGGCACCCAGCCCTGTGTTAAGTGCTCCATGTGTGTTAACTGGCTTCTGCAGTTTGCACATCAGCCCTGTGTGGTGGTCATCATAGCCATCTCAATCCAGTAGATGGGGAACCTGAGGCCAGATGGCCAGGCAGCTGCACTAAGGTCGCGCAGCTGGTAGGGCAGAGCCAGGATTTGAACCCAGGCCCTCTGGCTCCACCCCACCACCCTCTGTGGCTTGAGCACCCATCCCACAGCCTTGACATGGCTCTTTTCCGCTTGAATCTCTGTAGGTGTCTCCCCTGCAGGCCCATGGAATGCCACCACTCCTGTCTGCCCCACCACCACCCCAGGAAAAGATGCTGAGGGTGCCCCCTAGCCTCATTCTCTCTCTTTCCTCCCAGGTGTTCGTTACAATGCAGAGAAGAAGAAGGTTGGCAATTACTACACGACCCCAATCTACAGGTAAAGGCAATCTGGTGGGCTGAGGGATGAGGGGCTCCACAGAAGTCTGAGTGGGAGGGAGGCTTGTACCGTCTGCCTGAGGGTCACCCCTGTGGGTCTCTGCTGGAAACCGGCATGGTCTGTCAGTCCGGGCGCATCCTGCCTAGACACCTCCATGGCTCCCTCCTTCCTTGGACTAAAATCCTCAGGTCTCCCCGTGGCCCACAAAGCCCCCTCCCTGCCTTCACCTCCTCCCACCCTCCCCATCACTCACTCCCCTCCAACCACACAGCCTCTTCACTGCCCCTTACAAAATCCCTCTTTGGTGCCCTCTGCCTGGAACATCTTCCCCAGACATCTGCACTGCCCCCTTTCCCTCCTTGGATTTCTCCCCCAAAATCGCCTCTCAGGGAGGCCTTTTCTAAAGCAGTGCTCTCCCCCCAACTCTGTGGTGGTCTGAGCATCCCCTGCCGGCTCAGCTGCCACTGGCGCATCAGCCCTGCCAAGCGCAGGGTGGCCTCCTTCACCACTGAGTCCCCAGCAGCTGGTCCCAAGCCTGCCACAGAGCAGCCTGGCTTGGGAGGGTTTGTTGAACGAATGAGTGAACAAATTAACGAACAAATGAATGAGTGCATGGATGAATAATAAACTCCAGACAGAAGGTCAGTACCAGGGTGAGGGGCCCACGTGTGTCACAGACACGGAGACCAGCATGTAGGCGGTTCTCTGCGAATGCTAGTAGATGGTGTAACGTACACGATGGAAGGAAGCAGGCAGGGGTCACAGGGTGTCCCAGGGTGGCCACAGTGTTCAGATTCCCACCTGCCACCCTCCACCCTCCCAGGTTCAGGATGAAATGCCACCTCTGTGTCAACTACATCGAGATGCAGACGGACCCCGCCAACTGTGACTACGTGATTGTGAGCGGCGCCCAGCGCAAGGAGGAGCGCTGGGACATGGAGGACAACGAACAGGTGCTGACCACAGGTGAGCGCTGTGGGGGGGTTCGGACCCCAACCCTAGTCCTGAGCCGGGGCCCCGAAAGTCCAGCCCTGTTCTCACTCTTGCAGAGCATGAGAAGAAGCAGAAGCTGGAGATGGACGCCATGTTCCGCCTGGAGCATGGCGAGGCTGACCGGAGCACGCTCAAGAAGGCCCTCCCCACCCTGAGCCACATCCAGGAGGCCCAGAGTGCCTGGAAGGACGACTTCGCCCTCAACAGCATGCTTCGGAAGAGGTTCCGGGTGAGTGGGGCTCCCGGCCCGGGGTCGGGACCACAGGCAGTGAGGCATCACCAACAGTGGAGCAAAGAAAGTGAAAGTTAGTCATTTAGTCATGTCTTAACTCTTTGCGACTCCATGGACTGTAGCCCACCAGGCGCCTCTGTCCATGGAATTCTCCAGGCAAGAATACTAGAGTGGGTAGCCAATTCCCTTCTCCAGGGGATCTTCCTGACCCAGGGATTGAACCTGGGTTTCCTGCATTGCAGGCAGATTCTTTAACATCTGAACCACCCAGGGAGTCCTAACAGTGGAGCAGGGAGAACGCAAAGTGGGCTGAGACCCAGGCCCAGCCTGTGCCCCATCACTTCCTAACTATAGGCAGTCTTTTCACCCACAGTGTCCCCATCCACCACGTGGGGACCACCTCCCTACATCACAGCGCCCAGGGGAGGCATCTGGCCAGCAGCTTTTTTTTTTTTTTTTAAATAATCTTTCTTTATATTTGTCTGTGCTGGGTCTTCATTGCTGTGCCGGCTTTTCTCTAGTTGCAGTGCCTAAGCTTCTCATTGTGGTGGCTTCTTTTGTTGCAGAGCACAGGCTCTAGGCACTCGGGCTTCAGTAGTTGCAGCACACAGTAGTTGTGGCTCACTGGCTTAGTTGCTCTGTGGCTTGTGGGATCTTCCCAGACCAGGGGTTGAACCCGTGTCCCCTGCATTGGCAGGCAGATTCTTAACCACTGGACCATCACAGAAGCCCAAGGGTTTTCTTACTAATTATTTGTTACTAAAAGTGTGTCCCTCTGGCCAGGCTGGTAGCCTGAGTTGTCTGTCCCCTGCCTTCTGGGCATCTCTGAGTGGCATCTGAGGGCCCCCAAACATAACATCACAGGGAAATCCCATCAACCCCACACCTGCCCTGCCTGCATCTTCCCCTTCTCAGTAATAGAAGCATCTTTGTTCTTCCAGGCACTCAGCCTTGTTCCTCTTGTTATAACCACCATTATTTCCCCACCTCCGCATCCATGAGCAAATTCTGGCAGACTCTGACAATATCCACAGCCTACATCATCTCCTCATCTCCCGACTGGACTAGCACAATCTACACGCTGGTCCCCAGTGGCTCCTAGCTTTGTGTCCCACAGCCTGTTCCCCTCACAGCCATCAGAGGGCACCCGTGAGCACCTGAGTGGGATTACATCCCTCCTATGCTCAGAGCCCTCCATGGTTCCCAGTTACTTTAAGTAGAACCCAAAGTCCTCCCCATGGCCCACCAGGCCCAAATAATCTGCCCTTTTCCCTTCCTACCCCCATCTCCACCTTCCCCTTGCTCATTCTGCTCCAGCCACATTGGCCACCTCACTGGCAAGTGCAGTTCTGCCTCAGGGCCTTTGCACAGGTTGTTCCTTCCCCCTTGGAACACTTTTCCACCTAATACCCACGTGACTCCCTCGCTTAGACATCTTCTCTTGAACATAATCTTCTCAGGGAGACTGCCCCTGCCCCCACCCCTCCACCATGCGCCATATTTAAGGTTGAACCCCCTGCCAACCCTCACCCCCTTCCCAGCGTTATTTTTCTCCTCATCATTTTGTCTCACTTACCCACTCATATGTCAGCTTCACCAGGGCAAGGGTTTTTGTCTGCTCACTGCTGTGTCTCTAGTGTCTAGAACAAGGCCTGACACCAGAAGGACATTCTGTAAATATTTGTGGAAAGAATGAATAACTGGGAACTTCTTTGGCAGTCTAGTTGTTAGGACTCCATACTTCCACTGCAGGAGGCGAGGGTTTGATCCCTGGTCAGAGAGCTAAAATCCTGCCTACCTTGAGTCACAGCCAAAAAAAAACAATGAATGCGTGAAGGACCCAGTGGTACACATAGTAATAACAATCGTGTCTCCTGTTTGTTGAACAAGTTCTGTGTCCCAAGCACTGTGTGAGGCCCTTTCGTCACATAAACTTAAAGAGGAGGAGACGGGAGGAGAGCTCGAGGGGATGCCCATGCCAGCTCCCAGCTCAGAGCGCATGGAAGAGGCATGACTCTGACACCCACCATCCCTCCCCGTGGCTGCTCTATAGAGCTCAGTGGTAAAGAATCTGCCTGCCAGTGCAGGAGACGCAGGAGACCAGAGTTCGATCCCTGGGTTGGGAAGCTCCCCGGGAGGAGGAAATGTCAATTTGCTACATTATCCTTGCCTGCCTGGTGGGCTACAGTCAATAGGGTCACAAAGAGTCAGACACAGCTGAGTGACTGAGCGCCGTCCTTCTGCACCCACTTCCTCCCCGACACAGGAAAAGAAAAAAGCCATGCAGGAGGAGGAGGAGAGGGACCAGGCACTGCAGGCCAAGGCCAGCCTGGCCATCCCGCTGGTGCCGGAGACAGAGGATGACCGCAGACTGGCCGCCCTGCTGAAGTTCCACACCCTAGACTGTGCGTGGGGGCCAGTGGGCCTGGGGAGTCGGGTGGGGGGAGACGGGGGGTAGGCGCTCCGGCAGAGGGCGGCTCTGGACCTCCTTCTCCCCCTCAGCGTACGAGGACAAGCAGAAGCTCAAGCGGACAGAGATCATCAGCCGCTCCTGGTTCCCCTCCACCCCGGGAGCCAGCAGCGGCAACAGCAGTGGCGGCAACAGCAGCAAAGCCAGCAGTGTCCTGAAGAAACTGGCCCAGAACCGCAGAGCCACTCCTACCAGCTCCCCCGTCACCATGGGGCACCTGGGCATCGTGCGGCGGCGATCCCGGGAGGTCCCAGAGAGCCCCCAGCACCCGGCCGAAACCTTCAAGTCTGGGGAGCCACAGGTGCCAGAGGGGGCCAACCAGAACGGGCCCGCCTCCCCCCGAGACTGCTCTCTGGAGACAGCTGAGACCCCTAGGAACAGCGGGCCATTGGGGCAGGAGGAGAGCTGTCAGGACAGGCCCCAGACCCCTCCAGACACCGCCCCCGAGGCAGCCAACCCCCAGGACACACCACAGCCCTGCGGCCTCGGCTCCTCGCTCGTGGCTGACTATTCCGGCTCCGAGAGCGAGTGACTCCACGGCCCAGATTCACTTCAGAGGCCAGGACTCACCCAGGAGGCCCCTCCCAGGCTGCAGCCCCGCTGGCCCACCAGCCCTTGGAGAGCTCAGTCCCCACCCTGTGCACACCTCACTTTCTCGCAGTGATGGAGTTGTTATTTATTTGGTCCTGGAGAGGGTGTCTGTGCCTTGTGGGACCCAAGACCTCCCAACATTAAAGCCCTGCTTCTTTGCCCCTGTCTCAGATTACTAAATGGGCCCAGGAGCTCTGCCCCCACCCACCCAATGAAGCTTGCCCAGCATCTCATCAGCCAGTGCAGATGCCCTGATCACAGCCTTGGTCCCCACCCAGCTTGATGAGGATTTAAATGTAGTAGCCCAGGCTGGCCTGAAATCAGGGCCAACTTCCTGGAGGTGGTGGAACAACAGGCTGAGTTTGTGAGGGATGAAAAGGGGACTGGACAACAGGGCAGGCACATGGGGTGCTCAGCATCCTGGCCCAGAGCAGCAAAGGATGGAGCACACAGGTGTGAGCTGTTCATTATTCCCTTGCCCGTGGGGACACCTTGGAAGGGTACCCAGTGTACTTATTTTGAAGGAAACTAGTAAAATGAGTAGAAAACAGCCTCCAAACAGCAGAGCATCCACCAGGAGGCTCATGGCCCACCGCCTTCCCCTAAACTCTGGAGAAAGGATCATTGCTCAAACACTGGCACCGTCCGAGCCGTTTGAGATAACAGCATGAACAAATCAGACACGCGGCCCTCTTAAGGCTGAGGTTCCGACTTAATTTCTCGGAACTTGTAATGTGCCGGTCCGGAGGGGTGGTGGCCCCCAGCCCACTGGCCTTTCCTCCCCGCGGGGATGGGACGGTCTCAAGGTAGCAGTAAGGGTCTGTTCGATCTTGGGACCCCAATTGGGGCCTTGCTCTATATAAGACCACAAGCAGTACGCGCTCCTGAGGGCGTCCACCAGGAACTTGGGGGTCGTGCTATATGGCGTGAGGTAGTTGCTCCCAAAATAGTGGCAGGGGGCACTAACAGTGGAGGGGGCTGCTAACTTGGCTCGGCTGGGAAGGTGGGGCAGGATCTGATCTGTGGATGGCAACTTCCTCCCGGGAACCTGTGGGGTTACTGTACGCATGCGCCTCCTTCCGGGGAGGCCCCGCCCCCAGGATCCAGGCCTCGTCTCTTCCGCGTATTCCAGCTCCGCCCCCGGTGCGAGCGGCCCCCGGAACCCCGAGAAGAGCGGTGAGCGCGGCTGTGACAGCATGACTTTGGAGGCAATCCGCTACTCGCGGGGCTCACTGCAGATCCTCGACCAGCTGCTGCTGCCCCAGCAGAGCCGCTATGAGGCGGTGGGCTCGGTGCGCCAGGCCTGGGAGGCCATCCGCGCTATGAAGGTGGCGTCGCGTGGCGGGGCTCAGGTTGGGGTGGGGGTGGTTCCCCTGACTGCTGTCCCTGACGCCCCCCAATTCCCCCTCCAGGTGCGCGGCGCCCCAGCCATTGCCCTCGTGGGCTGCCTCAGCCTCGCCGTGGAGCTGCAGGCGGGCGCCGGGGGAGCTGGCCTTGCCGCACTCGTGGCCTTCGTCCGGGACGCGCTGAGCTTCCTTGTCACCGCCCGGCCCACCGCCGTCAACATGGCCCGCGCCGCCCGGGACCTGGCCGACCTCGCGGCCCAGGAGGCGGAGCGGGAGGGCGCAACGGAGGCGGCGGTCCGAGAGAGGTAGAGGAGCCATGTGCCCGGCACTGTTCTCACCCGAGGCTATTCGTTCGTTCACTGGTGGTGGTGGTGCACAGCTGCCACTTTTACAGTTGGGGAAACTGAGGCAGGGTCCTCAATCCAGGGCCACACCGGCAGGCCTGGGACTCAACACCGGGCCACCTGGCCCCGAGGTCCTTGAACTTCATCCTGTGTGTCTTTCCTAAACGTCCCCAGCCCTATCTGCCCTTGGAGGCCCTTGTAAAGTGTCGCCTGGTTTTTGCTTTTGAGAAACTTTGTTTCCAGCCCTGGTTCTGTCCCTGCTCTCTTCCCACTCTTGGCCTCCACATCTGCTACACAGATATTCTCCATTAACCCCACCAGACTCCTCCTGCCTCAGGGCTTTTGCACACTCTGTGTTTGCACGCCAGGTATCCACCTAGCTAATCTTCTCTCCCCCAGGTCTCAGGTTTCTGCCTTCCCCATCCCGCATATAATACAGTTCATCCCCTACCCTCTGTCTCCTGACTCTGCTGCCTTTTCCCTCCCTTTATTGTCTGCTAATCATTTGCCTACCCAACCCCAGTGTCAGCTCCCTAGAAGAGGAGATTTTTGTCTTATTCACTGCTGTGTCTCCCAGTGCCTGACACACAGGAGATGCCTGGTACAATGTTTTGTGAGAGCGAATAAGTTACAGTTAGGTGGTTGTAGAAGGGACCAGCCCCACAGCTGAGAGAGGCTTTCAGCAAGAGAACGCTAGTAGGGCAGAGTTGGGCAGTGAGGAGGAGCTGGGGTGGGTCCTGAAGCCTGGTGGCTGGTGCTCAGAGCCCCTTGTCGGCCTCAGAGTGATCTGCTGGGCCGAGGACATGCTGGAAAAAGACCTCCGGGACAATCGGAGCATCGGGGACCTGGGAGCCCACCACATCCTAAAGCGGGCAGCACCCCAGGGTGGCAAGGTGACTGTGCTGACCCACTGCAACACTGGTGCGCTGGCCACCGCTGGCTATGGCACAGCCCTAGGTGAGTGGGCGTCCACAGGGATGGGGGAGGGCCCTTTTTGGATGAAAGAGAAAGAAACCCAAACTACTATATGCATCCCCCAGAAAGGTAAATTTATTAGTTCTTGCACAGAAACACACTCAAGGGGTTGGCTTCAGGTATGGCTGGATCTGGGGACTCAGTAGCATCGGGATCTTTCTATCCGCATCCCTAAGGTGTACCCTCCTCCATAGTGGCATCATCCTCACTCTCGACTGCTTGGCCAGGATTCAGATCACGAGAAAAGAGCCAAGGATCTCTTATTTCGACAGTGTCAAAAAAGTCTCCTTGTATCTTGGAGCCATGATGGAGTCACCTACCCATCTAGGATCAACCACTCAATAGGCAACCACTCAATAGGCAACCACTCAATAGGCCTGGCCTGAGCCATGTGCCTAGAACGTGGGTGGGATCTGGGCTCTAAGAGGACTGAGAGGAAGGGTGTAACCCCCTAAAGAAAGATTAGACTAACTGTGACCAGGACTGGGGGACTGGGCCCTGGCACTCAAGGCAACAGAGTCCACCTGATTCTTAATTCTCCTGGATGTTTCCCTGCCTGCCTCAGTCCCTCCTTTGTGCCTGGACACTGAGGAAGGACATTCATTCGTTTACTCAACAAATACTTAGGGATTTCCCTGGTGGTTCAGTGGCTAAGACTCCATGCTTCTGATGCAGGGGGCCCAGGTTCCATCCTGGGTCAGGGAGCTAGATCCCACATGCCACAACTAAGAGTTCAGATGCTACAACTAAAGATTCTACATGCCTCAACTAAGACCTGATGCAACCAAATAAATAAATATTAAAAAAAAATACTTATGCTTAATAAATGCTCATCTACTGTGTTCCCCATTATTCATGCATGCATCCATTCCTTCAATCACTCAACATTTATTAAGCACCTACCTGTGTGTGCCATCATTCACTCATGCGTGCATTCCTTCATTCATTCAACAAACATTTATTAAGCACCTACTATTTGCCAAGCATCATTCTAGCAATTAGGGACACAGCAGTGGAGAAAGTAGAAGGAATAGGCAAAAGCAAATCCACAGATACCTATGATTCATTTCAAGGTGGTACATATTAAAGAGAAAGAGGGGATGGCAGTGCGGGGGTTGCTTTGTGAGATGGAGTAATCCTGGAAGGCCTCACAGAGAAGGCTTTCTCTAAGCACACGTGTACCAGGCAGAGGGAACAGCCACTGCAAGGGCCTGGGGGCCGACTGCATGGTTTGGAGTACTGTGCTGCTAGCCAAAGGGTCATCTATCCCTTTCTGTCTTATCCTGGCCTCTTCTGGTGGGCTGGGCCCCACAGGTGTGATCCGCTCACTGCATAACCTGGGCCGTCTGGAGCACGCCTTCTGCACGGAGACCCGGCCCTACAACCAGGGAGCCCGGCTGACGGCCTTCGAGCTGGTCTACGAGCAGATCCCTGCCACCCTCATCGCTGACAGCATGGCGGCAGCCGCCATGGCCCACCGAGGCGTGTCAGGTCAGCAGGCAGGGGAACCGGTGGGCAGGGCTCCAGCATCCAGGGCCAGGTCCTGATTGCCAGCATCTCATTCCCCAGCTGTTGTTGTGGGAGCCGACCGCGTGGTTGCCAATGGTGACACAGCCAACAAAGTGGGCACCTACCAGCTAGCCATCGTGGCCAAGCACCACGGCATCCCCTTCTTTGTGGCTGCCCCCAGCTCCTCGTGTGACCTCCACCTGGAGACAGGCCAGGAGATCGTCATTGAGGAGCGTCCCGGCCAGGAGCTGACCAACATCAATGGGGTCAGGATTGCGGCACCAGGTAAGCCATCCACTCAGAGAGGGGGACACCACAGTGCCTGGGCACCTCTGTGTAGGCATCGTGACTCTGTCACATGGCAGGTGGCATCTGGGTTATCGTCAGCCTTCTAAGACATAAGCAGTTCCTTCAAGCCATGTTATTAGACCAGACATGTCTTGGAGGTCAGATTCACATGTGTGCTCAGTAGTATCCGACTCTTTGTGACTCCATGGACTGTAGCCCACCAGGCTCCTCTGTCTGTGGGATTCTGCAGATAAGAATACTGGAGTGGGTATCCATTCCCTTCTCCAGGGGATCTTCCCAACACAGGAATCAAACCCACGTCTCCTACATCGGTAGTCGGAGTCTTTAACCACTGTGCCACCTGGGAAGCCCCGTTCCATGATCAAAAGGTACAGTGATGAGTCAGGAGACTTTGAGCGAATTGTTTTGTTCTTATCCACCTCTGTTTTCTCACTTGGATAAGAAGTAAGAATACCACCTGGTCAAGTGCTTCTGAAGAGACAGATATTTCTCAGCTTCCCCACACTTCCTGACTGTGGCCAGGTGCCTAAAATTCGTCCATGAGGGCCCTGTGATTGTTATGACCCTTACCTACCTCGTACACCCAGGACATTCAACAAGTTAACCCAGGTGACATCACGAACAGTGCCTGCCCCTGAGTTAGTGCTCATTAAATAGTAACAGGTTACAATTGAAAACTTTTATAAAAAGGACCAGTTAGGGATAGTTAGGGAGTTTGGGACTGACATGTACACACTGGTATATTTATTTATGTCTATATCCATTCCCAATGGCTTGGAGGTAAAGAACCCACCTGCAATGCAGGAGACGCAAGTTCAATTCCCTACGTCGGGAAGATCCCCTGGAGGAGATGGCAACCACTCCTGTCTTCTTGACTAGAAAATTCCACGGACAGAGGAGCCGGGTGGACTACAGTCCATGGGGTCGAAAAGAGTCAGACATAATTGAACACATGATGGATGAATATCCAGTTATTCAATTTAACTCACATTTCAGGTCAAAGATTCGTGTACACTGCTATATTTTAAATTGATAACCAACAAGGACCTACCGTATAGCACAGGGAACTCTGCTCAATATTATATAACAACCTAAACGGAAAAAGAATTAAAAAGAAGACCAGTTAGAACTCCTGAGAACTGAAAATACAATGAGGCCAGCATCTCTTACTCCAAATATGAAATGAGTATAAAACAACACTATACAGCTAAGCGGAAGGAAGTCCTAATATTCTATTGTTTTCTGCTGCAATTCCTTATAGCTTTCTAAAATCAGGTCACATTAGCAAACTATTGTGTATACAATGGGTAAACAACAAGGTCTTACTGTATAGCACAGGGAACTATATTCAACATCCCACGATGAACCATAATGGAAAAGACTATGGCAAGTAAATAGATAAATAAAAATAGATAATTCTGAAAAAATTTTTCTCAGTGTTTTTTGATGCCCCTGCTTTCCTAGGGGCTTAATTATTTAGCACTGGTCAAAATCCACAAGACCATGGAAAGCGGAATTGACAACCCAGCCTGCTTTTCCCTCCAAGAAAGCTGGGTGACACGGACCAGGTGAAATCCGGCGACCCCAGTACTCTGCTGTGGCCAAGGGTTACAGGAATGTAGGCCCCAGGGTGATCGATCTTCTGATTTTTCCAAGAGAAGCCTTAACATTTGTTATATGGCTAAAATCTCCCACATTTTGAAAACTGAAATGTTAGTTGCTCAGTCGTATCCAACTCTGCGACGTCATGAACTGTAGCCCACCAGGCTCCTCTGACCGTGATTTTCCAACAAGAATACTGGAGTATTCCCTTCTCGAGGGGATTTTTTGAAAGCTGACTGCTAATTCAGTGGTCTTAAAAAAATAACTGAGCCAGAGAAAACAGTTTGCAGCCTCTTGTGTAAGAGATTGTTATTCATTCACCAAATATTTTTGAGTACCTGATCAATGCCAGCTGCCATGCTAGGGGCCAGGGATACAGGGGTGAAGAAAGACTTAAAAGTGGGACTTCCCTGGCAGTCCAGTGGTTAAGACATAATGCTTCCATTGCAGAGGGCTTGGGTTTGATCCCTGGTCTGGGAACTGAGATCCCTCATGCCTCTTGGCACAACCGGGAAAAAAAAAAAGACAAAGTCCCTACCCTCATGGGGCTGACAGTCCAGTGGGGAGACAGAGACAGACAAGACAAATAGTAAAATTCCAGTGTATGTTTTCAGAAAGGGATAAATAAATGAGGCACAGAAGGATACGGGAAGTGTCTCTTCAGGGAGTAGGTTAAACAGGTGATTAGCGAAGTTCTCACTGAAAAGGTGATATTTGAGCAAAGACTTGAAATGAAATATTAAATCATATGCATATCTGAGGGAAAGCATCCAGGCAGAGGGCACAGTCCAAGCAAAGGCCCTGGGGTGGACTCTTGGAGGTTCCTAAAGAGATTCTTGGAGCAGTCACAAGTGGGGTAGACATGTATAAGACTTTGAAGCCTTCTTAGCAACAATCCGGGAATGTCAGGGTGTCTAAACTTATTACTGGGTGTCAAAACCCATGCGTTATTGTATTTTGGGGGTAAGGATCCCCAGATTCTCAAGGATTCCCCAACCCCAAAAACCACCGTGAGGGAGGCATGTGACAATAGCTTAAGAACATCCACTGACCAGATACCTGCCTTCTTGCCTCTCCTCTTCCCTGCAGGAATTGGAGTTTGGAATCCTGCCTTTGATGTCACCCCCCACGACCTCATCACTGGTGGCATCATCACAGAGCTGGGCGTCTTTGCCCCGGAGGAGCTCCAGGCAGCCCTTAGTACCACCATCTCCTGAGTGGGAGACCCTAGATGGACCCCAGAAGTAACCAACCTAGCTCTCCATAGCTTCCATTTGCCCTCCATATCCCCATTATTTTTATAATAAATTTATTGAATGTTCTGCCCAACTGCTGACCTTCTTCCTGCAACCACAGTACTTCCCAGAGCAGGGAAAGCAGGCAAGATACGGGAAGAGCCTGTGTGTGGCTCCTGAGAGGCCAGCATCTGGAGCCCAGCTGCTTGAGTTCATATCCCAGCTCCACCTCTTTTTCTGCAGTGTGATCTTGGCCACATCACTTCATCTCTCGCATACTTTCTTTTCCTCGTTTATAAAATGCAGATAATACTGGTACCTGCCTCTTAAATTGCTCTCAGGGCTGAAATGAAGGTGACACCTCAGGTGCAGAATTTTAATGCCATAAAAAGCTCAGTAATCAAGATAAATGGGCTTCCCTGATAGCTCAGTTGGTAAAGAATCCACCTGCAATGCAGGAGACCCCAGTTCAATTCCTGGGTCGGGAGATCCGCTGGAGAAGTGATAGGCTACCCACTCCAGTTTTCTTGGGTTTCCTTTGTGGCTCAGCTGGTAAAGAATCCTCCTGCAATGTGGGAGACCTGGGTTCAATCCTTGGGTTGGGAAGATACCCAGGAGAAGGGACAAGGCTACCCATTCCAATATTCTGGCCTAGAGAATTCCATGGACTATCCATGGGGTCACAAAGAGTCAGACACAACTGAGCAACTTTCACATTCAATCAAGATAAATAACAGCTTCGTGCATTTTTTTTTTTTAATTCAGGGAATTTCCTGGCAGTCCAGTGGTTAGAACTCTGCACTTCCGCTGCAGTGGGCACAGCTGGGGAACTAAGATCCGGCGTGCCAGTGACACAACAACAACAACAAAATTGGGGCTTCCCACTCGTGGCCCAGTGGTTAGGATTCTGCTCTTCCAATACAGGGGGCACAGGTTCGATCCCTGGTCGGGAACTAAGATCCCATGTGCTTCATAGTGTGCCCCCCCCCCCAAAAAAAAAAGAACAGAAAAGAAAAATTAATGCAAAAAAAAAGAGACCTCCATGATGAACAAAATATCAAGATATTCAATAGAATGAAACCCTGACCTTGCCTATCCTGACTTTCCCTAAGTTTTGATAACCAGCACTCATACCAGTAACACTTACAGCATCAGACAGCCAGTCCACAGGCTGTAGTGGAAAATATGATTTTTTTAATATTAAAATATTATTTTTGAACGTTCAAAATATTTTTATCTTGATTACTGAAGTTTGGAGTGCTTAGTCGCTCAGTCGGGTCTGACTCTTTGCCATCCCATGGACTGTAGCCCACGAGGCTCCTCTGTCTGTAGGATTCTGCAGATAAGAATACTGGAGTGGGTTGCCATTCCCTTCTCCAGGGGATCTTCCCAACCCAGGGATCAGAACCCAGGTCTCCCGCATTGTAGGTGGATTCTTTACCCTCCGAGCCGCCAGGGAAGCCCACTGAAGTGTGAGGCACCCCTTAAATTTTTGTTGTTGTTGTCAGGTAAACTGAATTTTACTAACAAAAAGCATAAGACAGTGTAAGTTTTACAAAACAAGTGACCAATAAATGTTAGGCTATCATTATAACCCTTAATTCAAAATTTTTGCCAAACGTTGGCTATGATAAACTACCATTGTAAGTAGCTTGTCCCTTTAATTCTTTGCCACGTTGTATCCCGTGAGTCATCGCGCCCTTCAGCCCCACTGTATCCCATCGTGCCCTGCGCCTTCCGTCAGCGACTTCTCCCTCTTCCGATGCGTGCCTGATAATGGCGCAGGGGCAGCGCAAGTTCCAGGCGCGGAAGCCAGCGAAGAGCAAGGCGGCGGCGGCGGCGGCCTCGGCGCGGAACCGGGGCCCGAGGAAGGGCGGTGAGAAGCGGGCCGGGGACTCGGGGGTTAGGGTGGGCCCGATGTTCTCCGGCCTCACGAGAGCGCGTTTCTCCCCAGGTCGCGTTATCGCACCCAAGAAGGCGCGCATCGTGCAGCAGCAGCAGCTCAAGAAGGTGAGTGCTCGCGTGCAGCGGGTCGGGGATGGAGAAGTCCCAGTGTTGTGAGCCTCAGTTTCCTCCTTTGTGCGGTGGGTACGGAAACATCTAGCAGCCAACGGGCCTCCTAAAGCAGGGATTGGCGCGCGAAAAAGTGTTCACATGTTAGCTGCTTTCGCGAAATTGTCCTCGTTAATAGACCTCGAAAAGACAGGCAGCCTGGGAAAGGAGTTAAAAAACTCAGCCTTGCAAGAAGGATGTGCTGGATGCAAAACGCAGTTCAGTTGACAGCTAGTGTATCTACACCCCGAAGATCTTAACTGAAATGGTCCTAGTGATAGCACTTCTCTCCTAGAATTGTAAGGATTCAGGGCCATAGGCGTGCTTGTAGGTGAACAGGGTTAAATTTATAAAGAAGTTGCGGAAAGACTTGTTAAGATTGCAGAGAAGTTTCAAAGAGATCTGGTGGAGTCAGATCTGAATTCGAATTGTCCTCTGCACAGTAATTCGCCCTTTGTTGTTATTCAGTCGCCAAGTCTTGTCAGACTCTTTGTGACCCTGTGGACTGCAGCACCGGCAGGCTCGCCTGTCCTCCACTGTCTCCCAGAGTTGCTGAAAGTCATGTCCATTGAGTCTGTGATGTCCTCCAACCATGTCTTCATCTGTCGCTCCTTCTCCTCCTGCCTTCAGTCTTCCGCAGCATCAGGGTCTTTTCCAGTGAGTCAGTTCTTCGCATCAGGTGGCCAGAGTATTGGAGCTTTAACTTCAGTGTCAGTCCTTCCAATGAATATTCAGGGTTGATTTCCCATGGTCACCATGGTCATTGGAACTCATAGAGCAAGGGAGCAGTTTAGGTAATAGGATTAAACTATCAGTTTTGGACCCAAACACTTGGGCTCTGATTGCTATGCCTTTATTCCACCCCATATCTCTCAGAGCCCCAGTTCACCATTTGCCAAGCAGAGATGACGGGACAAGAAGGGACTGGAATTTTAAGCCAGAGAGTCTGGGCAGGCTGGGTTCCAGTCTCCTGTCACTCACATAGTTTGGGAGCCCTGGCCAAGTGCCTCCTCCCTGCAGGTGCCTCTGTTTCTCCATCTATAAAATGGGAATGAGCAGAAGTTTAGAAGCTGAGGTCCAGAGATGAGAAGGGGTGCTTTGTGTGTGTACAGTGTTCTCAGAGTGTGGGGCAGAAGTAGGACTTAAGCCCCAGCCACCAGACTCAGGTGCTTTTTCAGGGAGAGGGATGCTGATCTAGCCCCTGATGAGCTCACAGAACCAAAGGCAGCAGGCCAGGCCCTCCCTCCCACCTCAGGTCCCAGTCTGATTGCTCTGTGCTTGCTCTCCCCAGAACCTGGAGGTTGGGATCCGGAAGAAGATTGAACATGACGTGGTGATGAAAGCCAGCACCAGCCTGCCCAAAAAGCTGGCGCTTTTGAAGGCCAGCACCAAGAAGAAGGAGGCCTCTTCCTCCACCAAGATGCCTGCCTAAGGATGCGCCCCAGCAGGACCATCACTGCAGCCCCCTCCTCTGCGCTCAGGCCTGTGCGGTTAACCCCACAGGAAAGAGGAACTGTGCTCTCCAAAGCCTTGAACTGCGCCTCGAACTTGACCAGGGATCTGGCCTGTGAGCCAGTGAGTAGCAGGTCAAAAGCACATGGACTGGCTGGCTTCCCAGGTGCCGAGGTCTCAGCACAGGCCAAGGCCAGGGGGATGTCTTCACCGACTTCCTGTGTTCCCCACTACCCCCTCCCACATCCTGTCTGGATAACTTGGAGCGAGGCACCTGACTTTGGCCTTCCTCCCAGGGTCACATGCTCCTGTGAGCAGGCCGTGCTGGGGCGTCGGGCCAGGTGCCCAGACCGCCCAGCCAGCCCCAGTTTACACACGAGCCACATGCCCAGGGAAGGATGGACAAGCTCCTGCACCTCCAGCCTGGGGCCCGGGGGAGAGTCTTTTCTTTCTCCCTACCTGGGGTGACTCGCCTGCTTGCCCTCCACGGATATCCCTGTGTCTTCCCATCTGCCGGGGACAAGCCAGGCAGCTTAGGGAGCCACTTTCCCATCCACAGGACAGACAGTGACACCACCTTGTAGAGTCAAAATGCTGATTAAACCCGAAGCGCTTTCCAACTTCTCTGTGCCACCTTTATCTTTATAATGTCATAACAGCGAGTATCGAGCAGTGCCTGTGGCCCAGATGCTATTCAGGTGCTTCCCACACGTCTCACCTCAATCCTCACGATGCCCAGGTCAGGTCACGTCATTCATGGTCCGGAGCAAGGACTTGAACCCGCCACTGGCAGAATCGCTGTGCACTCGCTCAGCTGCCAAACCACTGCCTCCCTTCACAGACTCACGTTTCTGACCTGTTCCATCCTGGGTTCCCCCTTCCATAAATCTGCCGTCTTGAAGACCAACCAGTTATGGTTTTTAGATAATGTGGTCAATTCTGATGAAACTGGTAGAAAATCCTACTTGAAGAGTGTTGTCATATCCTCATGGCTTGCCCAGTGGCTCAGTGGGTAAAGAATCCGCCTGTAACGCAGGACACACCAGAAATGCGGGTTTGATCGAGGACCTGGGGAGCAGGGACCAGGGCAGGCTATAGTCTGGGGGATGCTAAGTCGCTGTCTTTGGAGGGAGGTGGGCATGTGATGGCTGATCCTCCCAGGTGAGCGACTAATTCCCTGGTGGCCCAGCCTTTCCCAGCCAGTCTCACCCACCCCACATGGGTTTCCTTTGTCCCACATAGTAGTGGTCAACATTTTTTGAACACCCAACATTTTCCTAAAAAGCAGGGAACAGGCACTTTCCTGGCAGTCCAGTGGTTAAGACCCCACACTCCCAGTGCAGGGGGCATGGGCAATCCCTGGTCTGAAAGATGTCACACGGCTCAGCCAAGTAACAGAAAGCAGGGGACAACCACTGTGGAAAACAGTCTGGTGGTGCCTCAGTTCAGCCTGGAGTTGCCACCACGTGACCCAGCCCTTCTCTCCCAGGCACATACCTTAAGGGATTGAACTCAGACAACATCTCACACAAAGGTGGCAGCAGCCCAAATACCCAGCAGATGACTGGATAAACAAAATGAAGATTATCCACACAATGGAATATTTATTATTTAGCCATATAAAACAGAATGACCTCTGGTGGCTCATTGGTAAAGAATCCGCCTGTAATGCAGGGGACGGGTTTGATCCCTGGGGTCAGGAAGATCCCCTGAAGGAGGAAATGGCAACCCAGTCCAGTATTCTTGCCTGGAGAATCCCCGTGGACAGAGGAGTCTGGCGGGCTACAGTCCATGGGGTTCCAGTGTCCAACAGGAGTAAGTGACTAAGCCATCACCATAAGGCAGAACGATCCAGGCTACACCATGGGTGAACCTCAAAAACATTCTGAAAGCAGACAGGCACAAAAGGCCACATAATATGTGATTCCGTATATGTGAAATGTCCAGAAGAGGCAAATCCACAGAGACTGTGGTTCACTATGGGGTGCCGGGAAATGGGGAGTGACAGCTAATGGGCATGGCTTCATCTTTGAGGGGAAGGCAGTGATAAGATTTTGCAGCTTGATAGCGGTTGCAAACATTATGGAGGTGCTAAATGCCACTGAATTACACCCTTCTAATGATAAATGTTCCTTGTGGGTTTTAACCACTGGAAAAAAAGGCAGGAAGGGAAATTTCACACACACACCCCCCAAAAATTCTCATTTACATCTCAAAAAAACAAGAACTGTGGTAGCAGAGCCCTAATTTGATAAGAATTTAGATTTACCTGGAGTCCAGGGTTCAGGATTTCTGTTGGGGAGGATGGAGCTGGTGAAGGCCTCGCAGACCCTTAACTAGAGGGCAGGGCTGCTGCTGGGCCCTGTGACACCCCCAGGGCACACCCTTCTTTGAACCCCACCTAGGGGCCTGGACCTCCCGCCATCTGCCCACCTCACAGCAGTTTTCTACCCAAAGCAGGTAGCAAGTGACTTCTGCCCTTGAAATGGACTTGCTTTGCACAATGGGGATTTTTTTTCAAATTATTTGTTTATGGCTGCGTTGAGTCTTCGTTACTGTGTTCAGGCTTTCTCTAGTTGCAGCAAGCAGGGGCCTACTGTTTATTGCAGTGTGCGGGCTTCTCCTTGCGGTGAGTTCACAGGCTCTAGGGCAAACGGGCTCAGTGGTTGCGGCGCACTGGCTCACTTGCTCCGCAGCTTGTGGGATCTTCCCTGATCAGGGATCGAATCTGTGTCTCCTGCATTGACAAGTGGATTCTTAGCCACTGGACCGCCAGGGAAGTCCATGATGAGCACTTATTGTGCGCCTACTGCATACCAACCTCTGGGCTAGGTAGAGCTGAGAACTGACATTCTAGTGGGGAGAACAGGAAGCCCCAGGCCACCCCCTGCGGGCCCCAACCTCCTCCCTGACCTGCCTCCTGGCCTTTTTCACCCCCTGTTGCTTCTCCACTCCCAGGTGTCCCCTCAGAGAACCGTTCTCTGTCCCCCGCTCCAGGAGATGGTCACTCAGTGCCACTGTCCCCTGTTTTCTGTCTTGCATCTTTGTTACGTCTTGAGCACCTGGAACAGTGGACAGTAGTTGCTCCACGAACAGGTGTTTGTTGAATGAAGGAAGAAAGGAATTGTTTCATCTTTCTGCAAGGAACATTTTGCATCTCAGTGAATCAGTTCTGACCATTCAAAGCATCATCTCCATACAACACGTGCTTCCTTTCCAGGTTAGCTGATTCATAACAGCCTCTTCAAACTTCACAGCTCTGTGAATTGTCAGCAAGTGATAGCAATTCAAAGCCACTCTTACCTGCTCCTTCCGGCTCATCCAGCCGAGGTCCCATTGACAAGCCTCCTCCCCTGTGGAAAAACCAACTGGCCTCCGTTCACACGTTTATTTACTCGGATAGTCTAATCTGTCCTTAAGAGTGCCTGTTTTTCTGGACTCTTTTGAACCTCGTGGAACATCTGCGTGGTTCCCATAGAAGTTCAATTAAAACAAAATTTTAACATGTGTCCTTTGTTTGTCGGTGAGAGCCATGATTACACCCACTTTTGAAAATTATCTTTTAACCTTTCTATGTGGAATCTCGAAAGGGCTTGCAAGGGCTGGGACTGTCTGGGCTCATGGTGCCAACTGGCACATCCCTCAGCCACCAGGGGGCGTCTCCAGCCCTGGGCCAAGCCCATAACGCCCTGCAGGCCGAGGACTCTTGTAAACTGGCTCCCTTTGTCCCTCTGATGCCAGCCCCTTTGAGGAGGACCCCAGGGGTGAGGAAAGGCATTCAGGTGTGACAGGTATGGGATCTGGACTGTCAACCCATTTGTTTCCTCTTTGCCCCATTCCCTCGGCCTCCTTGAAACAGCCCCATTTCCCCCCAGCTGCCCCCACCCTCCTCGTCACTGCCCGGGGTGACTCCTCTCCTTCCTAGCACGTGGGTCCTGCCTGCAAATCCCCTTTTAGTATCGCAGCCGAGGGCCCCAAACTTTGGCAAACCCCCATACCTCTTGTTCTCTTCAGGCCCTCTCTCAACCTCAGTTTCTGCATCTGTTAAATGGAGACCCTAACACCTCTTCCTGAGTGTGGAGAATTCGGTGAAACTTAAGGTTGTGACAGCTGCCTTTGTGTCCTGGATGGGGTGGGAAGCCCAGTTCCAGCCACTCGCCTTGTCTTCTTTCCCTGCTTCCCCCACCCTCACCCCTCTGCCTGCTCCCCACCTCCCTGCAGTCATTAAATGTGGCTTTTTCAGACAATTATTCCTGCGCAAGCCTTTTCCTCTTTTGCCTCCACCTTCCCCCTCTGCCTGGAATGCCCATTTTTCCTGGCAGGGCCCTGACTCTCTGCCCATGAATTTGTGTTCCAAAAGGGAAGAAAAGAAATGTAAGAAGCAGATCTTGCCAGCTGGGCAGGCCAGAGGGGCTGTGTCCGGACCAGGAAGCGAAACTGCCCTGGCTGGTTTCCTGCCTGAGTCTTCAGGAGCCTCGGAGTACCTGGGTGGGTCGGTGGGGGCCATGGAGGCGGGGGGGGGGGGGTGCTGGCAAAGGGAGGGATCCTTAAAAAGTTAGGATGGGGTGGCCACAGAGCTGTGGGGTGCAGACCCCCTCATCTGAGACTGCAGGGTCGCCCCGTTTCTCATGGGTCTCAAGGACATGTGGGTTTGGGGTCTGGAGTTGTGGATGCCTAGACAGTGAGCTCACAGCAGGGCGGTCAGGATAAACGTGGTTCCATTCCCTGAAGCCCAAACTCACTGTCTACACTGAGAGGACTTGCCCGTGGCTAGAAACCAACCCCCCAACCTTCTCCTTTTCTAAAAATGTTGCTGGGTTTGAAATAGGCTTGGAGACTGCATCCCAGAGGTGTGACACATTTCCTAGGTGTCTTGCTGATTTCTCACATTCTCCTGGGATTGCTATGTGGCCTTGGACAGCTTTCTCACTCTCTCTGGGCCTCATTCCCCTCATCAGGGATCAGAATGGAATGCTGGTGTGTCCCAAACTGTGCATTTGATCCCCATCCAATGTGATAAGACCAGCCCACTCATCAAGGTAGGGCTTGAATGCTGGCCCTACCCTTTCCTGCTGTGGATCTTGATTAAATCACCTGAATTGTCTGTGCCTCAGTTTTCTCATCCATGAGATGGGAACGATGGCACTATTAGTATCTCTTGTTAGAGAATAAAATAAACATCCTCACCTTGTGATGCCCCATTCTCTGTTCCTCTATACATCCTGTTCCACTGGCCTAGAGTGCCTTCTCTGGTTCAACATCTTGGGGCAGGGACAAGGACCAGCCACATACTGGATGCTGAAGGGAGCCGCTTGGAACAGCCAGACCGTGGGTCCTGTTTGCCGGGGGAGCAGCTGAAAGACTTGTTTTGCTGAAGTTCTGCCTGCTTCTCTCCTCACCCATTACCCCTTCCCCATACGTCTATCTTTGCCTCAAATCCTTGCAAGAAAGACACGCTCTAATAAGTCTAGGGCTTCCCAGGCAGGCAAAGACTCCACGCCTCTAAGCCTCAGTTTCCCCATCTGGGAAATGGAGATGACATCCCCAGTTTGCAGCACTGTCAGAAAGCTTAAACTTGATCATGTGTCTGAACAGCTATAGCACACCATAAACAGTCAGTACAGTATTATTATTATTGTTTCTTTTGTTGTCATTGTGGTCAACTGTGGTTTCTCAAGACCCACAGAAATTACAATGCAGTGCTGTCCCATAGAAATGATCATGCAAGTTGCATACGTAACTTGACATGCCCTGAGACCTCACTGAGTAAAATGAATACACAATGAAACCATGGAGTTAATTTTAATAATGTATTTTACTTAACACAAACTTATCTAAGATAGCATCATGTCAACATGTAATCGATATTAAAAAAAGTTCTTAAGTTATATTGCCTTCTTTTTTCCTACTAAGTCTCTGAAATCCAATGTGTTTACATTGATGTGCTTAGTCGTTCAGTCGTGTCCACCAACTCTTCGCAGCCCCACGGAGTGTAGCCCACCAGGCTCCTCTGTCCATGGGATTCTCCAGGCAAGAATACTGGAGTGGGGAGCCATTCTCTTCTCCAGGGGATCTTCTTGACCCAGGGATCAAACCCGTGTCTCCTGCACTGTAGGTAGATTCTTTACTCTCTGAGCCAAGAGGGAAATCCACAGTACAGCCTAATTCAAGCTGACCCCATTTCAAGGACTCAAAAGCCCACTTGTGGCCAGTGGTGACCGTACTGGACACTGCAAGTCAGAGAGAGTTTACTGAATGGTGGGTTGGGGACTGGCCAGAACGTGCAGCTGTGAAACTGGAAATTCCTGGAAGGAAAAAGCCAGAGTTTCCATATGGGGAGGAGGAGGGGGCAGCAATTAGACCAATTAGGAGCCAGCTTGAGTTCTTCCTGCTCTGTACATCATTTCAGTGGAATGGGAACAGGCATGAGTTGGTTTAGTCAACAAGTTATATATAGATTGAGCCACTGCTGTATGTCCTGAGGTGTTCAGGTGCTGGCCTTAAAGCAGTGCATCAGCTGGACAAACTACTTCCTCTTGGAGCTCGCCATGGAGCAGGGAGAGACAGAAGTTAAACAACTGCTGAAATGATAAATAACATAATGATGAAAAAATAAATAAATAAAAATAAATAAATAAATAAATAAAAAGAACATAATGATGATGGAGAGAAGTGTGGCAAAAGGGAAATGCAGGGTTCTCTGAGGACATGGAGGTGGCAGGGGCAGCGGTGGGCAGAGACCTGGGTCGCGGGTTGGGCTGGGGAAATGCAATGAGCACCACCGACTGCTTCAAGGTCAGAGATGCGGCCCAGACAAGTTCAATCAGAAGAAATAATCAGAAGTGGTCAGATTTAACATCTATTACTTTGAACTTTACGAGACTGTCATTTAGTGTATCAAAAATGATTGAAAATCAGTAATTTCATATGACTCAACATAATATATGGAGAAGGAGATGACAACCCACTCCAGTATTCCTGTCTGAGAAATCCCATGGACAGAGGAGCCTGGCGGGCTACAGTCCACGGGCTCACAAAGAGTCAGACACGACTTAGTAACTAAAAACAACAACAACAATATAAGAGGCATAGAATGGATTGGGGATACTTATCTTGGGGCTCAAGAATGGATTTGAATTTGGCTCTATTTCTAGAGAGGGTGTCCGCAGCCCCCATAAGCTCTACCAAGCGACCTGTGATCCCTCCATCCCGCAAAGCATCAAAACTTGACCTGGCGCCCAGAGAGGCTGTTTCTCACGCCACACAACCCAGAGGGAGGATGGGCTAAGAGGTTGCCCGGGGATCCCGCCGCTCTGTCTCGCTCCCGGGCCGAGCAGTGTTGATTGTCCCCTCGCGGCGCCCGGAAGCGACCCTCAGTAAACAAAGCCGTGTGTGGGCGCAGCCCCAGCAGCCCTGGGAGCGCTGTCCAGCCCGAGGGGGGCGGGGGAGGAATGTTGTGAATGAACCCAGGACCCGCCCCGAAACTCCGCTTAAGGCTGGCGCTGCGGGGTCTTCTCCCACTGTGATTGGTCTTCGGCTCTCCGTGATTGACAGCCCAGCTCGCTGAGCGTCCTGATTGAGTAGTCCCGAAAAGACGGGCGGTGCATGTAACGAGTGAACAGCGGCGACTTGGATACGGATCTGGTGGCGCAGCCAACCGCGGAGGAAGGCCTCGGAGGCCGAAGGGGGGGCCAATGGGGACGGGAGGCGGAGGCGGGACCACGGTGTAGGATAAAGCGGCGGCCGAGGCAGCTTCATTGTTGTGAAGCGTCTTAAAGGGGCCGCATCACCCTGCTGGCCCGGGGGTGGGTGCGGCGCGAGTCCCGGGGCGACCGAGCACAGACCAAGGTCAGGAAGGTGGGCAGGAGTCGTGGGAGCCGGCGAGGCGGAGCAGGCTTCAGGCAGAACCCCCTCAACAGGCCCCGCCCCGGCCCCGGCCCCGGCCCAGCCGGATGGACCCCCCCGCGGCCAAGCGGAGCCGGGGCTGCCCCGCAGGACCGGAGGAGCGCGACGCCGGGGCCGGGGCCGTGCGCGGCCGGGGCCGGCCCGAAGCGCTGCTGGACCTCAGCGCCAAGCGAGTAGCCGAGAGCTGGGCCTTTGAGCAGGTGAGCGAGAGGCGGGGTGGGGAGGAACCCACTCCCAGCCGCTTCCTAGACATATCTTTTCCTCCCCCTGCCCAGACCCCAGCCTCCGGACCTGTCCCCATCGAAGACACCTCCAGAGATCTCCAAAATCCTTAATTCTGCCCAAGACATCCCCTCATCCTCCCATTTCACTCCTTCCACCCCCATCCCTTCCTGGGACAACTCTTCTCTCCAGCCCACAAGACTTAGAAATACCTGAGTGCCCCAGATCCAACTCGGGACCCTTTCTCTCTTGCCCTATGGTCTTCTTACAGCACCGCATACCTCTCTTGTCCCACCTTATCCTCATTCCCCAGTTAGGGCACCCCATTCAATCCTCAATCCTCTCTCCAACTCTTAAAACTGCCCCCACTTGGGAACAGACCAGATCTCAGGACCTGGAGACCCAACATTTCTGACCCACAGCCCCTTAGAGGACTCTCATATATATAGATCCCAGGCCCAAGACACCCTTTTCTGTCTCCGATCCCTGCCTCCGGCCTCCAGAACCCACTTATCCCATGGGGACACCTTCTTCTCTTGTCAGTCCTTTACGCAGGCCCTAATACACAACCCCCTGTCGTTCTGGGACCACCTCCCACCTGGGGCTGCCCCTCCTAACTGGCTGCAGAGATTACTCCCATTGTCAGAGTCCTCCCCCCGCCCCCATTACCTCGTGCCTACCCTCCCCTCACCCCTACCCCCCACCCTCAACCATCCTAGTCCTTCCAGAGTTTGGCAGCAAGTGTGGGGCCAGGGTCTTGCTACCTGGACAGGTGCACCCCTATGTTTTCTGGGGGCCCTGCCAGGATGGCCCCAGGGTGGAAGCTATTAGAGTTAACTTTCCCAGCCTCAGTGGAGTTGTGGCTAGGACCTGACCAAGCCTTCCTCAGCCCTGACAGGCTCTGTCCTCTCTTTGGCTTTGAGTGGCTTTCTTTGCTCCCTGGCCTCATAAGAATTAGGGAGTCTGCCTCGACCAATGGGTCTGGGCCAAGTATGGATGGGGCGGGCTCTGATTCATGGCCTGGAAAATCCCTCCTTAGTCATCTGCCAACTGTCCCCGAGGCCCCGAGCAAATCACTCGTCCTCCCACTTCCCTTTGAAATCCATGACTGGGGATTCTTAAGGGTCCCTGCTCCTTCATCATGTGTGAAACCCCCAGGACAATCTTAAAACCTTCTCCAGGGCTCCCATGTACCTGCCTTGGGCAGGTCTGGCTCTAGTAAAGGTCTTACCCCACAGAAGCTCATGGAATCGTCCGCAGCTCTTTGGCAGTTGGTCTCCTTACTTTGAGGAAACAAGGGCACAGAGAGGTTGAGAAACTTGCCCAAGGACACCCAGCCAGTGAGTAGCAAGCCTGGATTGGAATGTAGGCTCAACCAGCTCAGTTCATTGCCCAGAGCCCCCAGGGGTGGGCAGGACACCCATCCCTTCCTGGGGACCCTTAGAAGCTGGAACAGAGAGCCTGTCTTGGGACCTGGAGCTCATCAGCTGTGGGATCCTGAACAAATGAATTCACCCTACTTCTGAGCTTAGAATCCCCAGGCTGCCAAAGTATTGGGTTGTTGCTGGTAGAATTAAGGGTATTTAATATGCATAAAACATATAGGACAATGTAGGCTAAGACCGTGTAGGCCTGATCACTTGTCTTCTGATCACTTTTGTCTTCTTTCCTCCTGCCCCACCCACACCCTGCAAGCTGAGGGGTGAGACTACCTTCCATTAGGATCCTGGGACCTGACATTCAAGAGGGAAGTGACAGAAAGTTCTAGAACACTAACAATGGGCCAGGTATTATTATAAGTGCTAAACATATTAATGCATATGTAATACTCATGACACCCAGAAGGCAGGTGCTCTTAACATCTCCTTCTTACACTTGAGAAAAACTGAAGCTCAGAGAGGCAAAGTGACTTGTCCAAGGTCATGCTACTTGTTTTATTTAGTTATTTTGGGCTTATGTCAGGTCTTAGCTGTGGCAGGCAGGATCTTCACTGTGGCATCTGTTGTTGTGGTGGGTGGGCTTAGTTGCCCCACAGCGTGTGGGGTCCTAGTTCCTGGACCAGGGCTTGAACCCACATCCCCTGCATTGGAAGGCAGATTCCCAACCACTGGGCTGCCAGGGAACTTCCGCAAGGTCATGGTACTTGTAAGCAGCAAAGTCAGGGTTCCAACACCCGGGTCTCTAACACAGCAGCCCTTCCCACAGGTTGAGGAGCGGTTCTCCCGTGTGCCTGAGCCAGTTCAGAAGCGCATTGTGTTCTGGTCATTTCCACGAAGCGAGCGGGAGATATGTATGTACTCATCACTGGGGTACCAGCCCCCGGAGGGCGAGCACGACGCCCGGGTGCCCTTCACCCGCGGGCTGCACCTGCTGCAGAGTGGGGCCGTAGATCGTGTGCTACAAGTAGGTGAGTGCCTGTCCCTCCAGCCCTGCCAGGGAGGCCAGGGGTCCAGAGCATGTGTGGAGGAATGGGAAGCTGGAAGATTCCAAAAGGCAGGCTTTGATGCCCAGAGAGGGTTGTACAAAATATTCTGAGCTCAGGATCAGGGATCTGCCTCGACCTGAGTCAGCTTAGCTGGGGGCTGAAGGTAGAAGTAGTGAGACAGGGAGGAGACAGTGGTTTTGAGGAGTGATTATAAACCGGAAGTGAGGGGAGGTTCCAGATCTCAGGCAGTGGGACCCAGGAGTCCTCTGGGGCCAAGGTTTAGAGCCAGAGGTAAGAATGATCCCAGACTTCAGGCAGCAGGGTCCTTGGTAAGAGTTGGTGGCAAAGTTTGTTTTTTTTTAAATATTTATTTATCTTTTGTTGGGGCGTGTGGACTTCTCCCTGGTTGTGGCACACGAGCTTAGTTGCCCCGAGGCAGGTGGGATCTTAGTTCCCCGACACCAGAGATCGAACCCATGTCCCATACATTGACTGGAAGGAGGATTCATAACCACTGGACCACCAGGGAAGTGGCGAAGTTTTAGAGCCAGTGGTGAGAGACAGACTTAGACCTCAGGCAGAGAGATTCAGGTAGAGGTTGGGTTCATAGGTTTAGGGATGGTCTTGGACCTAAGGCAACAAGGATTTGGTAGGGTCTGGGGTGAAAGTCACCAGCTCAGGGAAATGGTGAAGGATAGGGAAGCCTGGCGTGCTGCTGTGGGGTTGCAGAGAGTCGGACACGACTGAGCCACTAAACAAAGAGTGGAAGTTGAGGATCATCAGTAAGGAGTGCTCTTAAACCCCAGACAGCAGGGTCCAAGTGAAGGGAGAGGGTGGAAGTGTAGACTAGAGATGAAAGATGAATCTAGACCTCAGGGAGCAGGCCTCAGATGGGAACCAGTGGAGACTGAGCCAGAAGGCAGATGAGCCTTGGAATGCCACACTTCACATGGGGGCAGGTCACGTCATCTGCCGGCTGGAGGCAGGGACTCAGCCAAGATGACCCTCTCTGAACCATGTCAGCCTGGGGGCCCCTTTGCCTGGACATGACCCAGCCAGCCGCAGGCTCGGCCACCTCCAGCTGGTATGAGGAAGCTGCTGTGTCCCTGCATGACACAGACAGGGCCGGCTGGAGCCTGAGCTGCCCAACCAGTCGGATGAGCCTGGCATCTGGGCTCCCCAGGGGCCAGGGAGGGGCAGGGGGTGACGGGGTGACCTGGCCCCTAGCTGGCCACAGCAACCCTTCACCCCCAAGATTCTTTGGTATCTTCCCAGGAAGTGACAGGGTGCCTGGAACCTGGGCAGTATCCATAATGATCCAAGGGCTTGTAGTAATATTATTCAGAATTAGAATAAGAACAGGCATTTATTTGGCACTTACTGTCTGCAAACAGTGTTCTACATTAACCCATTTCATCCTCATTACAAACGCATGAGGAGGATGCTACTTCCTCATTTATTCATTAATATTCCCATTTCACAGATGCAGACACTGAGGCACAGCAAGGTTAGGTTACTTGTGCTAGGTTACTCAGCTGGGATTTGCACCTGGTCTTTCTGTGCATCACTGTCAAGCACAACCTATCTCTGGGGTGACACAGCAAGTGACAGTTTGGTTTTGGTCTTAGGGTTCCACCTGAGTGGAAACATCCGGGAGCCAGGGGGCCCCGGAGAGCCCGAGCGCCTTTACCACGTCTCCATCAGCTTTGACCGCTGCAAGATCACATCCGTGAGCTGCGGCTGCGACAACCGTGATCTCTTCTACTGTGCCCACGTGGTGGCCCTGTCGCTGTACCGCATTCGGCATGCCCACCAGGTGGAGTTGAGACTGCCCATCTCTGAGACGCTCTCTCAGATGAACCGGGACCAGCTACAGAAGTTCGTGCAGTATCTCATCAGCGCCCACCACACCGAGGTGCTGCCCACCGCCCAGCGCTTGGCAGATGAGATCCTCCTCCTGGGCTCTGAGATCAATCTGGTGCATGGTAAGAGTGCCCCAAGATCTGATGGGAGAGGTGAAGCCCCAGCTCAAAGCCACCTTGCTTGCTGTGTGGCTGGCATGTGTCACAGCATCCAAAGATAGCCTTGATCTAGGAATGAGGGTGGAACCCCACCACCTGAGGTCAAGGTCACACACCTAGGAAGTGGCAGAACCTGGATTTGATCTGGCCCTGGGCAGATGAATGGTCAGAAATCAGCCAGTGGAAATATCCAGCCCCAGGGTAGGGGTGTCCCAAGATCGCAGGAGCAGGCCTGGGATCATGGATGGGTTGAGGTCATGAAGCGTATGTGTGGACCTTAGTGGGTGTCAGAGGTGGGATATGGTGAGGAGATAGACCCAGAGGTGTTATGAATTCTGGGGTGGTTTGGAGCTACAAGTGTTGCTTAACTATAATGATGGGAGGATGGAGTAAGATGGAGAGTGAATAGATGGATGAGTAGCAGGTGGAGGCATGAATGGATATTTGAGGGTAGTGATGAGTGGCTGCAGAAGGTGTTCATGATGGAGTGTTGGGGTGAAGTGATGGTGTGGGAAAATGAATGGAATGAGTGGATGGGTGATTTACTGGGATGGTAGGTGAATGGGGAGTTGGTGGTACTTGGCAGTGGAGTTGGATGGGATGCGCTTTGATTGGGGAGTTTGAGGTAGTGGACAGATGGGGTTGGTGGAAGATTGAAAGGACCAAGGGATACATGGATTGGGGGTGAGTTGATGGGTGCATGGATGTTATTATATATAGACTGACATGGTGAATGGATCAAGTATATAGGATGGATGGATGCACTAATGGGTTGGTGGGTGTTTGGGGAGATACAAATGAATGGATGGTTGGTGGGGAAAAAATAGATGGAAAGTTTGGATTAACTGGATGGATGGATAGCATGGTTGTGTGGGTCAGTGGATGAATAGGTCAGTAGTGTTTTGAGTGGTTGGTACAGATGAGTTGGAAAAGCAAATAAGGTTGGGTAGGTGGATGGATGGATGGATGGACTGATGGGATGGGTATGTAGATCAGTGAACAGATGGGAGTTATGGGTAGGGTGGATGATGGACTAATGGGGTAGGTAGGTGTGCTAAGGGTTATGATGTATAGATGGAAAGATGCATGGCATGACATGGGGGTGTGGATAGACCGGTGAGTGGTTTGAATGGAAAGGTAGATGATGCTTTGGGTAAGATGATGGATGAATGGTTGGGTGAGTGAGTTTTCAGGTGGGATGGATGGAATTTGGGGATGGGTTGGTTGATTTGGAGGACTGGTTGACATATTCCTTTCCCTAGCCCACATATGAGTTTTCCCTCTGTCCCCACAGGTGCCCCAGACCCCACAGCAGGCGCAGGCATCGAGGATGCCAACTGCTGGCACCTGGATGAGGAGCAGATCCAGGAGCAGGTGAAACAGCTGCTGTCCAATGGCGGCTACTACGGCGCCAGCCAGCAGCTGCGCTCGATGTTCTGCAAGGTGCCGCGTGGGCAAGCATGGGGGGCGGGGCTAGGCTCTGGAGTCAGAGCCCCGCCCCTTCTCACCACCAGATCTTGGCACAGGTGCGCGAGATGCTGCGGATGCGTGACTCCAATGGGGCGCGCATGCTGATCCTCATGACTGAGCAGTTCCTGCAGGACCCGCGCCTGGCCCTGTGGCGGCAGCAGGGCGCCGGCATGACGGACAAGTGCCGCCAGCTGTGGGACGAGCTGGGTGAGTCCCAGACCCCAGAAGCGGGAGCTCGTTAAGCTCCTGGGCTCAACCACCCTGAATCCGTCCTCATTCAGTAGCACGGCCAATATACAAGGGCTGTACTGAGCGCTGGGGCTACCACAGGCAACAAAGGAGATTAAATACCTGCCCTCAGGTCTTCCCTGATAGCTCAGTTGGTAAAGAATCCGCCTGCCGTGCAGGAGACCCTGGGTTGATTCCTGGGTCTGCAAGATCCGCTGGAGAAGGGATAGGCTACCCACTCCAATATTCTGGCCTAAAGAATTCCATGGACTGTATAGTCCATGGGGTCACACAGAGTCGGACTCTGAACAACTGAGCGACTTTCATTTCTTCTTCTCAGAGAGCTGACACTTAGTGTCAGCAGACAGAGAGGAGAAAATCCCACAAGCCCATCAGGCCAGGGGTCAGCACACGTTTTCCATAGGGCCAGCTAGTTAATAGTTTTGCCTTTTCAGGCTATTTGGGTTTTGTCCCAACTATTCGATGTTATCTGTTGTAGCAAAAAAGCAACCACAAACACATAACAAAGTAGTCATGGTAGCATTCCAATAAACTGTATTTATGGCCACTATTTATTTGAATTTCATATCACTTTCACAAATCAAAAAACATTTTTATTTATTCCCCACCCCATCCACCATTTAAAAATGTAAAAATAAATCTTAGCTCAGAGGCCATTCAAAAACAGGTGGTAGGGGACTTTCCTGGTGGTCCAGTGGTTAAAACTTTGTGCTTCCAAGGCAGGGGTGCAGGTTTGATCCCTGGTTGGGGAACTAAGATCCCACATGCAGTACAGCTTCAAAAAAAAAAAAAAAGTGGCAGGTTTTATTTTCTCCACGGGTGGTAGTTTGCTGACCCCTGTGATTGATGGTGATAAGTGCTATAGAGAAAAAAAAAATTGCAAGAGGAGTCTGGCAGCCAGGGTTTGAGCCCCGACTTCTGTCTTCCCAGCTGTGTGACTTTGAGCAAGTGACTTTATCTCTCTGAGCCATAAAGTGAAGAGAGGATGAATTGCAAGAGGCCCAAGGTGAGAGTTAAGCGACCAGTGCCCAGCACACAGCAGGCACTCCATAGTGTGTGCTGCTCCTGCTGGCATGAGTGTTGAGCCTCCTCCATGCCCACATTGGCTCCCCTCCCTCCCCAGGGGCCCTGTGGGTGTGCGTCATCTTGAGTCCCCACTGCAAACCAGAGGAGCGGACGAGCTGGCTCCAGCTGCTTAGCAAGTGGGACAAGCTGGACGTGTGCCCGCTGGAGGAGGGCAATTACTCTTTTGATGGGCCCAGCCTGCAGCCCACTGCAGCCCTCATCCCAGGTAGGAGAGGGGTCCCTGCCATTCCCCCCAGCAAACCATCCCTACTGCCTGTGGTCTAGCCTCCCCATCATGGTGCTCTGGGGAAAATGGAGGCAGGGCGGCAGGGGACTAGCCCTTACCTGCCTCCTAGCCAGGAGACAGTGAGTGTCCAGGGCAGGGGCAGCAGGCAGCCTGAGGGACAGTGATGTGAAATACTTAAGATACCTGTAGTTCTGGGCTGACTCAGTCTCCTCCTGGCCATGGAGGCAGAAATCGGGTTGGGGGAAGGGGAAACAGAAAGAAAAGGAAACAGGTATTGAGAAGAGAAAGACAAGTAAAGACAGGCAGAGAGGGAGGGAGAGAAACAGAGGAAAGAGAAAGAAATTGAGTATGGAGGGAGAAAGATGGACAGACCCAGTTGTTCAAACTCAGTTGTCCATTTGTGGTGACTCAGTAAAGAATCCACTGCAAAGCAGAGACCTAGGTTCGATCCCTGGGTCAGAAAGATCCCCTGGAGAAGGGAATGGCTACCCACTCCAGTATTCCTGCCTGGAGAATTCCATGGACAGAGGAGCCTGGCGGGCTATAGTCCATGGGGTTGCAAAGAATCAGACACGACTTTTTCATGTCAGACACTTTCACTTTCATGAAGGACTATGATCGCTCCCCTGACACACACACAACTTTAAGTCTTTTGAAAAAATTGGGGGAAATGATGGCACACTCATCACTGTACCCAGAGTCTAGGCCCAAGCTGGCACTTGGTGGGATAGAACTGTCCACCGCCTAACTGCTAGGGCCCTACTCATGGGGCCACACTTGGGCACCTCTCCCACAGGCCCAGAGGAGGAGGAGGTGGTGATGGCTGCAGGTTCCCGTCACACCGTGTTTGGCCGCGCCCTGCAGGCTGGGTCGCTGCACTGGAGTGATGACCATCTGCAGAGGATCCTGGCCAGTGACTCCTACAGCCCCAACCTCACAGGCAACGGGGGCAGTGACAAACCAACCTTCGACCCCCAGGGCCGCCCGCTCTGGCTGGGCGAGCCCTTCCCCACTACCTGTGCACGTGTGGACACCCTGAGGGCCCATGGATACCCCCGCCAGGCCCTGCGGCTGGCAAGCGCCATAGTCAACACCCTCCGGCTGCAGCAGCGACATCAGCTACAGATTTACAAGCAGCAGAAAAAAGGTGGGCATCAATCTTATTATCGTGTCCTGTGGCTGAAGACAGAAATGCCAGCTGCTGGGGGCTGTGGCAACCTGGAGGGTCTGTGGGTACAACAGGAAAACAGACCACTCTAGGTGTGTTGAGCAGAAAGGAATTTAATACAGGGGATTGAGGGCTCATGGAACTAGTGAAAGGGCTGCCAGATTCAAAGTCAGGGAAAGCAGTGCCTGGGTTCACTAACTTGAACTTCAGAAGCACAGAGTTCTGCTGCCTGTAGCCCTAACCAGGGGGTAGGGAGGCAGTTCCCAAGAGGACAACCCAGAACCTGCTGGCAAACCTTACATCTGTGCCCCAGACAGCCACACACACACCTACTCACAGCTGCTGCAGAAGAGTAATGGGCTCATTTTCTCCCACCTTTAACACCTCACACAAAGGGGTCTGGGAAATTTAGCTTCTATGCATCCAGCCACATGCTTTTCAAGGACATGGGCCCAGCATAGCCAGATCAGATTTTTCCAAGAGAGGCCAGAAATCTGGATTCTTTGATGTGGAATTTACTGTTGTTTTTTTTTTCCCCAATATGGGCAACAGACTCAAAATTGTATTCCATGTTGTATGACCCAAAAAAGAACATGTTTGTAGACTAGATATGGAGGGCAGGAGGGAGCCACCAGTTGCATACTCTGGGTGATGGGGTTGGGTTGATGGGTTAGTTACCAGGAAATTGAACACAGGGTTTAATGAGGGGAAATGGGGGCTTTGGTATCTGAGCAGAACTCTAAACTAGCCTGGAAGCATAGGGAAAGCCCCAACCCTTCCCCAGGCCCAGAGGAAGTAAGAGCTAAGCTTAGATCCTAAGGATGTACATGAGGTTCCCAGGAAAAAGAGAGGGAGCAACTATATTCCAGGTAGAAGAAACAGCATGGGCTGGAGCCCAGAGGCAAGGGAGAGCTCAGCTTGTGTGAGAAGATGAGAGGATGTGCTTCCAGATGGGGTGGGTGTGTAACAATCATGGGGAAACGTTCGTATCAGTCCTTGAGAGCGCTGAAAGCAGGTTGAACCTGAGAGAAGTGAGAAGCACAGTTTAGCCACGCCTCAGTCTGGGTGTGGAACAGAAGGCCAGGGAGGTGAGAGCTACTACAGAGCTCAAGGGGGCAGAGACGAAGGTGCTGGATGGGCATCTGGAGGCTGGGCTTGGGGTTTGGGAAGAAGCCCTCCTGGAGGGTTCGTAGGGGGTGGGCCTTGAGCCTTTTTTTCTACCTTCAGAGCTATTGCAGAAAGGTTCCACCTGTATCACCAACACGGAAGGATGGGTGGGCCATCCCCTGGACCCCATTGGCTGCCTCTGCAGGGCACTCTTGGAGGCCTGTCGTCTAGAGGAGGAGACCCTCGCCATTTACCCAGGTACCCAGACTGGGGACCCCTGGAGGAGGTGGGAGGATCACCACCCCTTGGCCATACTTCTTCGCCTGGTATTCCTATTACTTGGCCACACCCCTACACTTGGCCTGCCCTTTGGCCAGTACCAGGTGCCCCCCCCGCAAAAAAAAGAGGCTTAGCTTCTGAAAGTGAGGCCACCATAGGCCTACCTGCTGTTGGAAGGTGGGCGCTCCTTCCTGGTGTGTGCAGAAACAGCTGGCTCTCCATAAACCTCCTCCACCCCTACAGTATCCATGTTTAAGGTCAGGGACCACTAGAGTCCCAGGAAAAGGGGTTCCTCCCCAGTAGCCATGATGCCTTTCTCCCACAGACTTAAGCCTTGAGAAGCGGAAAGTGGCCTACCAGCACGTCCCCGTGCCGGGGAGCCCTGGGGAGTCCTATTTGGCGATGGCGCTAGAGGTGGCCCTGCTGGGCCTGGGACAGCAGCGGGCCCTGCCCGAGGGGCTGTATGCCCAGGACAAGGTGGTGCGCAGCGAGGAGCAGCTGCTGGCCCTGCTGGAGGAAGTGGAGCTGGACGAGCGGTTGGTGCGGGTGCTGCGCAAGCAGGCGGGGCAGCTGCTGGAAGGTAAGGCCACACTCCTAAGCCGGGTCGTTCCTGAGACGTAGGGTCCAGTCCGCCGCAGCGGTCTGGTTGCTGCCAGGTTGGGAGACCCAGCCTCTACCTCCACCTCCGGTGCTTATTGTCTTTCCATACCTTATTGGTCAGTCGCTAAGTCGTGTCCTACTCTTTGCGACCCCATGACTGCAGCACACCAGGCTTCCTGGTTCTTCACTATCTCCCTGAGTTTGCTCAAACTCCTGTCCATTGAGTCAGTGATAACCAATCATTATATACCTTGGCAGTTCCTTAAAGGGGAGGTCTAAATTTTGGCCCCGCCCCCAGAAAGCCTGCCAGCCAATAACAGCTGCTATTGATGAGCCCCCCCCACCCCCCCCCACCCTATCCTTTTGAGGCCCCGCCCCTACCGCATAAGGAAGCTGGCTTGGCCGCGCCCCCAGAGCAAGTGCAGCCCCGCCTTCACTCTGGCTACTCCCTGGGTTTGAGCCCTACCCCTACCAAGAGGTCCCAAGGGTCTCTTTCCTTTGGATTTTCCAGTACTTGTCTTTCAGCCCTGCTTCCCCACCCCTGGGACCTCTCTAGCCCCAACCACTCTATCTTGGGTTGGCCCGTACCCCACTGGAAGGTGGGGGCCCCTGGGGAGAGGCGAAACACGCCCACACCTGGGGGTTGAGCTTGGGTTGCCCCCGCAGGGGGTCCTTTCAGTGGCTTTGGAGAAGTGCTGTTCCGGGAGAGCGTACCCATGCACACCTGTGCCCGATACCTGTTTACCGCACTGCTGCCTCACGACCCAGACCTAGCCTACCGCCTCGCACTTCGAGCCATGAGGTGAGAAAATGCAGCTGGGGACTCCCCCTGGGGCGGGAAGGATTAGGGGATGGGAGGCTACTGGGAGCTCCATCCTTCCACCTGCACTCACAACTTAGTTCATGCAGTCTCCCTCATGCTAGCATTCCAGGCTGCTCTGTGCTCTTGACGACTAAATATAAATATGTCATTTTATTTTGAAATTGAGAAATCTCCACATGACACAGAATTCAGGGTCCTTTTCTAGGCAAGTTTATCTCAACCTACGCAAAGCTCTCTGGAGGCAAGCAGTGTTACCACTTTCTTATCTATACAAGAGTCCAGATTTCTGCAAACTTGTAATCTGAAAATTAAAACTTGGTTCTTCTTTACACCCATGATACATCCTGTTGTTTAGTCGCTAAGTCATGTCCAGCTCTTTTTGCAACCCCATGGACTGTAGCCCACCAGGCTCCTCTGTCCATGGGATTTCCCAGGCAAGAAGACTGGAGTGGGTTGCCATTTCCTTCTCCAGGGGATCCTCCTGACCCAGGAATCAAACCTTGGTCTATGCATTGGCAGGCAGATTCTTTACCACTGAGCCACCAGGGAAGCCCCATAACTCTGGTACCTATTCTTTTTTTATTATTATTATTATTTTAATAACCTAATGGTTTCTTATGATGGTTAATCTTTTTTTAATATTTATTTACTTAGCTGCCCTCAATCTTAGTTTCCGTACTCAGGATCTTTAGTTGAGGCACGAGGGATCCTTAGTTACGACACGCAGAATCTTTTAGCTGCGGCATGTGAATTCTTAGTTGCAGCATGTGGGATCTAGTTCCCACACCACGGATGGAACCCAGACCCCCTGCATTAGGAGCACAAAGTCTTAGCCACTGGACCACCAAAGGAGTCTCCTGTACCTATTCTTTGCACCTTGTTTTCACTGAACTTTTGCATCTTGAAGGCTTTATCCTATCACATAACAGGTGAACCACTGTAGGGTGGGTCCATGAAAAACCCAGTGTGGAACTGATGGACATTTAGATGTTGCAATGCATGACCAGGTTATCATTCCCCGTGTGCACCAGCAGATCATAGAAGCAGAATATTAAGAGGCCCTGTCCCTAGTAAACCATGCCCAACAAATTAAGTGAAATCCATCTCCCACCCTCTGATCCTATCCTCCAGAGATACCTATTAACAATTTGAGAGCTTCCCTGGCTGTCCAATGGTTAAGACTCTGCTCCCAATACGGGGGGATTGGTTTCAATCCTTGCTTGGGGAACTAGGCTCCTACATGCTGCATGGCCTGGCAAAGAAAAATCAAGTTTGAGGTGCATTTTCCAGAATATTTGAAAAGAATAATCTGTTAAGAGCCATGATTTAGAGAACACTCTTTTATGTGCTAGACTTTTTTCTAAACCACTGCTAGCAAATTACAACCCACGGGCCAGCTTTGGCCAGCTGCCTGCTTTTGTGCAGCCCCTGAGATAAGAATGGTTTGTTTATTTTTAGATGGTTGGGAGGAAATCAAAAAGTATTCTGTGACACATGAAAAACACGTGAAACTCAAATTTCAGTTTCTAGAAATAAAGTTTTATCGGTGCAGAGCACCACTCACTCGTTTGTGTATTGTCTGTGTCCGCTAGTGACAGTGGTGACAGAGACCAAATGGCCTACAAAGCTGAAAATACTGGCTGTCCAACCCAGTGCAGAAGAGAAGGTGCCAACTTCTGATCTAAATCTGACTCACATTATCCCATATAATCTTCTAAACAGCCCAGCGAAATAAGTATATTTACACCCATTTTACACATAGACAGGCTGAAGGTGTGTCCCAAGTCACGTAGCAAAGTCATTTATTTGTTTTTTTAATTTTTATTTATTTATTTTATTTTTGGCTGTGCTCGGTCCTCATTGCTGCCCGCGGGCTTTCTCTAGTTGCAGAGAGTGGGGCCTACTGTTTATGGCGCTGCTCAGACTTCTCACTTCAGTGACTTCTTTTCCATGGAGCAAGGGCTCTCTAGTGCTCAGGCTTCGGTAGCTGTGGGCTTAGCTACTTGGTGGGGCATGTGGGATCTTCACAGGCCAGGGATTGAACCCATGTCTCCTGCATTGGCAGGTGGACTATTAACCACTAGACCACCAGGGAAGTCCAGCAAAATCATTTACATATTTGGAACCAGAATAGTCGTGACTCCTTTTTCCATGCTTTGATTACATTTAACAGCTTTGGAGAACTTTCTTAACACAAAATGCATGTAAACAGTGAGCTGAGGATCAAAATATCTTACAGGGGCCCCCCATCGAGTCCTTCAACAAACGTGTGTTGTTTACCTATTGTATGGCAGGCATTGTTCTGGTGCTGGAGATGCAATGGTGACCCAAGTAGTCAAAAATTCCTGCCCTCTTGGAGCTGACATTGTAGTGAGAGAGAGAGAATAAGCGCATTTATAGGTAAACTATGTCATATTGCCATATGACAAGATGCCATATACATATGGTGATATACAAGAAAGGGATAGAGGAGTTGGGAGGGGAAGTTGCACTCTCCCTTCTGTTGGGCATGTCAGGAAAGAGCTCACTGAAAATATTTTTTAAAATAATTTTATTTATTGATTTATTTTTGGCTATGCTGGGTGCTGGGTGCTCATTGCTGCGCAGGCTTTTCTCTAGTTGCGGAGAGTGGGGCTACTCTGGTTGCTATATGTGGGCCTCTCATTGCAGTGGCTTCTGTTGTTGTAGAGCACAGGCTCTAGGCAAGCTGGCTTCAGCAGTGGTGGCACAAAAGCCCAGTGGTTGCAGCTCACAGACTCCAGAGCACAGGCGCTCGTTACAGCACACGAGCTTAGTTGCTCTGCCGCATGTGGAATCTTCCTCGACCAGAAATCGAACCCGTGTCCCCTTCGTTGGCAGGTGGATTCTTATCCACTGCACCACCAGGGAAGCCCTGATAAGAGTGTTTTTAACAGTGGGTCCAACATGTGGTCTCTGACAAGATCAGGAAAAGAGTAGGGGTTGCATCTGAGGTGGTCGGGTCTCTTCATCTTGGTGAGTTTCTCCAGCCCCTTTAATCTTGCCTCAGGTGGTGTCTTGGCTGCTCCTCCCTTGATTAGCAACTGTTGGAATCCATCCCTTGGAACTCAGGGAAGTTCCTGGAGACTGCCGTCTTTACTTCAAGAAATGCCAGACAGAAAGGCCTCTGTGCCTGGGATTCCCACAGGGCCCTGCTCAGTCTCAACTGCAATGAACATCTTTGTCTTTTTAATTTTTACTGGAGTGTATTTGATTTACAATGTCGTGTTACTTTCAGTGTACAGCGAAGTGAATTCATTATACATATACCTATGTGTGGGGCTTCCCAGGTGCCACTCGTGGTAACAACCCACCTGCCAGTGCAGGAGACAGAAGAGACATGTCTCGATCCCTGGGTTGGGAAGATCCCCTGGAGGAGAGCATGGCAACCCACTCCAGTATTCTTGCCTGGAGAATCCCATGGACAGAGGAGCCTGGAGGACTATAGTCATTGGGGTTGCAAAGAGTTGGAGAGGACTGACGTGACTTAGCCGCAGCAGCAGCATATCTGTGTACCTGTGTGTTACGTCACTTCAGTTGTGTCTGACTCTGTGACCCCATGGACTGTAGCCCACCAGGCTCCTCTGTTCATGGGATTTCCCAGGCAAGAAGACTGGAGTGGGTTGCCATGCCCTCCTCCAAGGGATCTTCCCGCCCCAGGGATTGAACCCGCATCTCTTCTGTCTCCCACATTAACAAGCGGGTTCTTTACCACTAGTACCACCTGGGAAGCCCACATATACATATACCCACTCTTTTTGAGATTCTTTCCCCATATAGGTCATTGCAGAGTACTGGGTAGAGTTCCCTGTGCTATACAGTAAGTCTTTATTAGTTATGTATTTTATGTGTGCGTGCATGCTGAGTTGCTTCAGTCATGTCCATCTCTTTGCAGCCCTATGGACTGTAGCCCACCAGGCTCCTCTGTCCATGGGATTCTCCAGGCAAGAATACTGGAGTAGGTTGCCATGCCTTCCTCCAAGGGATCTTCCTAACCCAGGGATCGAACCCAGGTCTCATGTCTCCTGCATTGGCAGGCAGGTTCTTTATCACTAGCCCCACGTGGGAAGCCCCATGTATTTCATACATGCAGTGAACATCTTCAACACACATCTTCTGTCTTCCTGGGTGCCCAGGGCTTTGCTGACTCCGGAGGGTAGGTTCTGGCTGAGGCAAGTGGCATCTCCTAGAGAGGACAGAGAGTCCAGCCTTGTCTCACAGCAGGCTTGCCTTTCTTCTTACCCCAGGCTGCCCGTGCTGGAGACAGCGTTTCCAGCTGGAGAACCTCCCAGCAACCCGCTGGACTCCATCATGAGCAACCGCTTCCCGCGCTGGTTCATCCTCGGCCACCTGGAGACCCGCCAGTGTGAGCTGGCCTCTGCCATGCTGACCGCTGCCAAGGGTGAGGACCGTGGCTGCCCCCATCCCTGTCCCCCTGTCCTTTACATTACTTCCCTCCCTCCTTTCCCTCATTCCATCCCCCCCACTTACTTTTACTTATCCCACAGTTTTCCTTGGGGCTTCCCAGATGGTGCTAGTGATAAAGAACCTGTCTGCCAATGCAGGAGACATAAGGGATGTGGGTTCGACCCCTGGGTCGGGAAGATCCCCTGGAGGAGAGCATGGCAACCCACTCTAGTATTCTTGCCTGGAGAATCCCATGGACAGAGCAGCCTGGGGAGCTACGGTCCATGGGGTCACAAAGAGTCAAATGCAACTTAGCGTGCACCTACGCAGTTTTCCTTGAGCACTTTCTTTTTACCTGCGGGATCTTAGTTCCCTGACCAGGGATCAAACCCACACCCCTTGCAGAGGAACTGTGGATTCTTAATCACTGGGCCACCAGGGAAGTCCCTTCTTGAGCACTTCCTGTATATATTCTCCCAGATGCTGAGACCCAGTAGCAAACAAAACTGTCCCAAATCCCATGCTCTGTGGTGTTATTCCTAGTGAGAGCAGACACACAATAAATAAGGTAAAGAAGATAGTTATGCAGTGAGAGGTAATAAGAGATATGAAGAGGCATACAGCAAGTTGACATTTAAGCCACAACTTGAAGATGGAGTAATGCCAGTATCTGGTGTCTTAGCTCAGCTTCTGTAACAAACTACCATAGATGCAGTGGTTTAAACAACAGAAAGTTATTTTCTTACAGTTCTGGAGGCTGGAAGTTCAAGATCAGGGAGCCAGGACAGTCAACTCCTGGTGAGGGCTCTCTTCCTGGCTTACAGATGACTGCCTTCTCACTGTGTCCTCACATGACAGAGAAAGAGAGATCTCTGGTTTCCTCCTGTCCATATAAGGATTCTGATCTCATCCTGGGGGCACTAGCCTCATGACCTCATCTAAACCAAATTACCTCCCAAAGGTCTGCCTCTAGATACAGTCACTCTAGAGAGTTAGGGCTTCAGTGTATGAATTTTGGGAGACACGGTTCAGTCCACAGCATCTGGGAAGAGTATTCCAGGCAGAAGGAACAGCCAGTGCAGAGTGCCTGGTTATATTTAAGAAGCAGAGAGGAAGCTGGTATGGCTGGAGCTGAGTAACAGAATTGTAGGATCTAGGTCAACAATAATAACAGTAATAAAAGTTCATATATGTGCATGTGTTTGCACGCTCAGTCGATCAGTCATGTCGGACTCTTTGCGACCCCATGGACTAGCCCATCAGGCTCCTCTGTCCATGGTATTATCTCAGCAACAATACTGGAGTGGGTTGTCATGTCTTCCTCCAAGGGATCTTCCTGACCCACGGATTGAACCGTGTCTCCTGCAGCTCCAGCATTGGCATGTGGATTCTTTACCACTGAGCCACCTGGAAGCCACTCACATATATAGGTCTTGCCATATTAAGACCTTTACAAGTATGGGCTCACCGTAGCCCTGTGTGACATGTACCATGGCATTAGTATTATCCATTGTACAAATGGGGCAGCCAAGGCACAGAGAGGTGAAGTGACTTACGCAAGATCACACAGCTTGTGTGATTTGAACCCTGGCATCTGGCATCTGCTGGGTCCAGAATTGGTGCCCTTGACAGTTAGGGGTCCAATGGCTTCCTCCCACAGAAAGGGAAGGGGCAGAGGAAAGATAAAGGGGAGTGCCAAGAGTGGTCTAGGTCTTCATAGAACCATCGCCAGTTCCATCACCATCCACATTCACACATTTGCACGTGTGTGGAAGAAACTGTGTAAGCAGGTCCGGCAGCATCCGGCTGGTGCTGGGTATGCCCATGATATCCTCTGTCCCTCCCGGAACTCTAGGAGACCCCAAGTGGCTGCACGCAGTACTGGGCTCCATCCAGAAGAACATCCACTCTCCAGCCTTGCTTTTCAAGCTGGCGCAGGATGCCTGCAAGACTGCCACCCCGGCCAGCGCCCCACCGGACACCACGCTGCTGGGCATTGCGCTGGAGCTGGGCCTTCAGGTGAGAGCCGCGGGAGCAAGCACGGGGTCAAGGCCGGCTGGGCTTGAGGGCCCACTTGGGTGCGGGGCCTGAGTGCAAGGTCTTTCTGAGGGCGGGACCTAAGGGTCAGCCTAGAATCCTCTAGGGGCGGGGCCTGAATGTGAGTGGCATCTCTGGGCGGGGCTACAGAGGAACAGGGTCAGGGAGAGGAGTCCTGAGAGTGAGGGCCTAAAGTCACCAGTGAGGGTGGGGCCTATGAATGAGTGACTCAGTTGCAGAACCTGAAGGTGAGAATCTACTTCTGGGGGTGTGGCTGAGGACACGGAAGGGGATCACAGAGCTTGCAGGCGGCCACAAGAGGGAGCAGAACCTACGTGTGTTGGCCTGGGGTTGATGTGCCCTAAGGACCATGAGTGGGCGGGGCTGAAACTGAAGAGCCTGCCTACTAGGAGCTTTTTTGGGGAAGGGCCCTGCAGGGGACTGCAGCGAGAAGGAGGTGTCGCTACTGAGGGGCGGGGCTTAGGGAGGGTCCTGTGAATGAAGAGCCACTTCTAGGGGTGGGGTCTGTGGTTGAAAGTCATGGAGGTAAGGCCTGCAGGTGAGTGTCCAGGCCCTCCTCTGGGCCCGGACAAGGGACATGCTGTAACAGGGCAAGGCAGAGGCATGGGCGCGGTTTGAGGGCATAGACAAGTATGGGGCTCATGGGGGCAGGGTCTCAGTGGCAAAAGTAAAATAACAGAATAAAGTACAGATTCAGGTGACATCTGACCAGACATCTGACCAGTGTAGAACTGGCCAGCAAAGGGCAGACAAGTGGCAGAATTGGCCTCTGAACCACGCCGTGAAGGGAGTGGAGCTATTGTGGGGGAATGTGGGGGTTGAGGTAAGAGTGGTGTTTTGGGGGGGTTTTTTGGCTGTGTCAGATCTTAGTCACAGCACACAGAATCTTCGATCTTTGTTGCTCCATGCAGGATGTTTAGTTGCAGCATGCAGGATTTTTTTTTTTTTCGTTGCAGCATGTGAGATGTAGTTCCCTGACCAGGGATTGAACCTGGGCCCCGAGCATGGAGTCTTAGCCACTGGACCATCAGGGAAGTCCCCAAGGGTGGTGCTTTAGGGTGGTGACCCCACTATTTAGGAGCTTCCAGGCAGGACCTGCGGTTGGGGTCTCAGGAGAAAGGCCAGCAAGGATGGTACTTATTGGGGGTGGGACCTGAAGAAGGTAGGACCTGTAATGGTAGGTGCTTTGTGTGGGACCTCAGGAGGAAATCTGACAGGAAGCACAGAACTTTCCAGAGAAAAGTGACAGGTTGGTTAGTTGTCCCAGGTAGGATCCATGGGACCTTAGAATAACACTAACAGTAATGGCTGGTGTCAGCTGAGCACATTGAAGCCGTAGGCACTGTACAAAAAGCTTTACTTACTACACACTTTCACTTGATTCTGACAACAGGGTGAGGCAGATACTATTTTTATCTCCATTTTACAGATGAGGAAGCTGAGGTCCAGACAGGTAAAGCCCCTCACCCACACTGTATGGCTTTGCTTCAGTCCTTAACCTCTGAGTCTCCTGGGGCTCCTCAGAATCCTCAACCCCCTCCCATAGGCCTCCCTTGGGTGACCCCCTTCTCTCCCTGTGTCCTGTGTTGCAGGTGATGCGGATGACCCTGAACACCATGACCTGGCGTCGGAGGGAGATGGTGCGCTGGCTGGTCAGCTGTGCCACAGAAATCGGTGAGAGCCCCCAAGGGGACTCACGACTCACCTCCATTCAGGACCAGGCAGGCATGAAGGAGAAGCAGAGCCATTTCCCGGACCCCAGCCTGTGCTCAGGGCTGGGCCAGGAGGGAACGATGGGTGTGGGGGATGGTAAGATGTGTCCAGCTGAGCCTGGAGGCTGGCCAGGCTAAGTGGCTTGGAGAAGGGACAATCCCTCCAAGGCTTAGCACCCACCTTCCCAGTTCCTACCCAGCCCAGCTGCCCTCTGCTCCCTTAGAAAAGTAAAGTTTCTGTCAAGCCTGGAGTGGAGGTAACTACTGTAGGTCAGGGTAAACTTATACACATAGGTACACCCATGCACACAGGGTAAATCCATTCACGCAGGGTAAACCCATGCACAGGTGAATCTCTGCCCCATGCCCGACCAGTGTCATCCTCTCGTTTCCCACAGGCCCGCAAGCCCTGATGAACATCATGCAGAATTGGTACTCCTTATTCACCCCAGTGGAGGCGGCCACCATCGTGGCAGTAACAGGCACTACCCATGCCACGCTGTTGCGGCTGCAGCTGGACGCAGCCCGGCGGGAGGAGCTCTGGGCCTGCGCACGCACCCTGGCTTTGCAGTGCGCCATGAAAGACCCGCAGAACTGCGCCCTTCCCGCCCTCACCCTGTGCGAGAAGAACCAGGCGGCCTTCGAGGCGGCCTACCAGATTGTGCTGGACGCGGCCGCCGGCGGCCTGGGCCACGCCCACCTCTTCACCGTGGCGCGCTACATGGAGCACCGCGGCCTGCCACTGCGGGCCTACAAGCTGGCGACGCTGGCCCTGGCGCAGCTCAGCATTGCCTTCAACCAGGACAGCCACCCGGCAGTCAATGACGTGCTCTGGGCCTGCTCGCTCAGCCACTCGCTGGGCCGGCACGAGCTCTCAGCCATCGTCCCCCTCATCATCCGCAGCATCCACTGCGCCCCCATGCTCTCCGACATCCTGCGCCGCTGGACCCTCTCGGCGCCCGGCCTGGGGCCCCTTGGGGCTCGCCGGGCTGCCAAGCCTCTGGGCGCCGACCGGGCACCGCTGTGCCAGCTGCTGGACGCGGCTGTGGCGGCCTACATCACCACCAGTCACTCGCGCCTGACGCACATCAGCCCACGTCACTACAGTGACTTCATCGAGTTCTTGGGCAAAGCTCGCGAGACTTTCTTGCTGGCGCCAGACGGACACCTGCAGTTCGCCCAGTTCCTGGAGAACCTCAAACAGACCTACAAGGGCAAAAAGAAGCTCATGCTCCTGGTGCGGGAGCGTTTCGGCTGAGGGGCAAGAGGCAGACGGCGGGGGCATCCTCCCTTCGCCCCTGCCCCTGTGGCACCCGCTCTCCATCAGGGGCCTCGATGCTGAAGGCCCATGTGGCATTTCAATATTAAGTCAGGGAAGGAGCCCGGCTGAAGCTGGGTGGTCTTGCCTGCCATCCCTCCACCCCCCAAGGCCAAAAGGAGGTGGGAGGCAGGAGGTGGCATCCTGCCACGTGCGTGCCTAGGAGCGTGCAAGCGAGTGTGCGAGACGTGAGGATCAGAAGCCATACCACCACCCAGAGGCCTGGAAGGGGGTGTGTGCTTGTGCAGCTGGTATGACCCCATTGTGACCACCCCAGAAGCAATAGTCAAGCTCTCCCTCCCCAAAGCTACAGCTCTGTCTGGAGCTGAGGGGGCAACAGGGAGTGCTGGGAAGCAGGACTCTCCAGACACTGGTTTTCGAAGTCAAAGTAGCAGACAAACCCTCCCTGTGCCCAACTCTGAGTAGACGGAGGGCTTGTGTTAGGGCATCTAAACTACTTTTGTAATACCCCCCCACCCCCACCCCCGCCTCAGGGGCCCCACCGGCAGCGCCACACCCTCTCCAGGCTGCCCAACGGGGACCAATGGTTCGTTCACCCCCACTGAAGGATTTGAAGAGGCTTCAGGCCTCGGCCACATACCTCACCCCCTCATCCTGCCAGGACTCCATTGGGTGCCAGGGTCCCAGGGCAGGCTGGGGGATCATTACTGCCCCTCCCCCTACCTACTAGTCACTGGACATACAACTCAGGAACCGAGCCAGACTCACACTGTCCTCCAAACCCGGTGTGGGGGGAGACAGGGACAGGCAAGCCAGAGACCCCCCCCCCCACCCCCAATCCAGACAGGAAAGGGGCCAACATCTTAGCATTTTTTGGCTGGCTGTCTAGCTCTCCCTTTCTCCTCCTCTGCCTCCCTGCTCTGTCCTTCATCTTATTTCCTCTTCGCATATTTCCATCTAACCTGTCTGTATTTGCATCCCCAGTTGCTGTCTCTTTGGCTTCCCTCCCCCCACCTTGGCCCAGGGAGAAGAAGAAAGTGTCCCGCTCCCAATCCCCCTCCTCTGTCTTTTCTCCTCTTGTAATTAAGGACAAAGATCACCGCATTTTGTAACTTTTTTCTATTTATTGAACCACATATTGTATTTACTTTTTTTTTTTTTAAAGATTGAACACAGCTTGTTCTTTTAAATTTTAGTTTGAGACTAAAGTATGTTCTCCTCCCCCAATGCGGCCCCAGCCAGGGCCCCCTTCTCCCCTCGTAGAAAATCTCCAGCCTCTTCTCTGGGAATAGCTTGAAGCGACGGGTGCAATGGGAGCCACTGCTGGTTGCATCCAGTGGTAAGAGTATGGATGATAGTAGACAGGGATGGAGAGCTCACTGTGAGCAAGCCTGGTATTTATATCTGTGCTTTACACCTGTCATCTGTTACGACACCTGTCTGAGGAGAAAGCGGAGGCTCCAAAGTTTTAAGGAAAGGACATGGAATTTTAGAAAGTAACAGCTCTAGATTTAGTACCTTGCTGGGCTGGGGACGCTGATTGCTCACCCCAAGCTGCTTGGTCCATGCAGTGCTGGGAATGGCCACTAGGGTGTGCCCTGGCTCCAGACACTCGCTATTGAGGTTCCCTGTGTGCGTTCTCAGTTGCTCAGTTCTGTCTTGACTCTTGCGACCCCACGGATTGTAGCCGTCAGGGCTACTCTGTCCATGGGATTTCCTGGCAAGAATACTGGAGTGGGTTGCCAATTCTTACTCTAGATGATTTTCCTCAAGCAGGATCGAACCCAAGTCTCCTGCGTCTCCTGTATTGGCAGGTGGATTCTTTACCACCTGGGAAGCCTCGCTATCGGGGATTGATTTGCAAGCTTCTAAACACGTGGCAGGGGTGGGAGGGTGCCTGTCAGGTGCTGGGTGCAGCTGGGTGGGGAAGACACAGCCCTCACAAGTGGGAACGCGGTTTAGACTAGGCCTTGGTGGGTGAGGTTCTTGCCGAGATGACGTGGGCATGGTCAATGCCGGGCACGCCTAGGGCGTGTCTGGGCTCCTACCCCGCGGATGAAGGACCTGGGGGATGGCGGGAAGGCCTTTAGTTGCCTTTACTGGTTTCCTGCCTTTAGAGACTGACGGACAGAGGGGCTGGCTGGCTGGGTCAGCGTCAGGGCTGGGGCAGGAGAGGACAGAGGCTTCCCGGAGGGGCGGGGTTCAGAGCGAGGCTGGGCGGGCCCAGCAGCTAGAGGACTCCAAGGGCCTGCGCGCAGGCGTGGGCGGGCCTTCCCTGGCGCTGGGCAAGGCGATTGGCTCTTGGCACCGCCCTGCGCTTGAGGGAACCAGTTGGAGGCGACCCCACCTTCTGCCCCGCCTCACACATTCCCGCAGGTATGTGAGGGGAGATCCCAACGGACCCACTTAGCCCCTTAACGCCGCCTGGAGGCCTGGCAGGGTAGAGGCGGCAGTCCCGAGGGCTCTATGTCAGCTTTGACCCTTGGGGTTCCCGGCTGCCTTCAAATGTCCTCTGATTTGAGGCACCCCTTACTGTGCCCCTCGGCTCTCCAAGTCATCTGCAGATGTCCCCACAGACCTAGGGTACCACTCAGGTCCCAGTCACAGCCAAACGACCCCCTTGGGCCCACATACACAATTTCCCCACCATCGTTCTCAGATACCAGACACCTCAAATCTTACCACCAATCCAAGTTGTCCCTTATGTCTTAAGTCACCCCTAAATATCATTAGATCAACACCATCAAGTACCAGTTATCTTCAAATGGCCAGTGTTTACTTCCAGGTCACCCTCAAACACCAGCTTAGATTGGGTCCCATTCCCTTCCATCTCACCCCTGGACATGGGGCATTCCTCATCACATCCCGTCTAGGTTCCAGGTCTTGTCACCACACCAACCCTGAATGTCTGTCCCTCCAGCCCACCCCTGAACCCCAGGACACTCCTCAAGTTCACCTTTCCATGACAAGGGCACCCTTTCCACCCCAAATGACTAAATTGTCATCTTCTCCACAGTGGGCAGGGCAGGGCTGGGGATCCTGTGAGGTCAGGAGGCCAGAACAATAAATTTAGACCCATCAACCCTCCCCAGATAAAAAGCCAGGACTCCAGAGTTGCAGACTAGAATACATCACAAACCACCAGACCAGGAATAAGGCAGGGGGCAGCTTTTATTTAACTGGACAGCAGGCTCAAGACACAGCAGAGACCTCCCCAAGCTGCTGTCTGCCCCTGCTCCGATGGAGGAGGGGTACACTGAGCCAACTCTTGACAGCTTGGGGGGCTTCACTCTACATCCCTAGTTTCACCCCTAGAAGAGCCCTATTCCATCTGATGATGGATACAGTCTTAACTCTTCCATGCCCTGGACCCACCCAAGGACTGAGCAGGCCTGCTTGTGTCCTCTGGGCCCACAGGGACCTCATTCACCACCCATGTGCCAGGAGGGTGCCATGGCCCCTCCCCCCAAGTTCGGAAGCCACAGGGCCCAGGGAGAAGGGGCCAGGCAGGTTCAGGTCAGGCCAGCCTGGTTCCGGAAGCCTGGAGTTGGCATTTAACGGTCTGGGGGGCCCAAGGCAGCTTCCTCTTGGGTAACTGGCTGCTGGGAAGATGCAGGCCAGCCAGGCCCCCACCAGGTTTGGACGAGGAGAGGCCGAGGGTCGGCCAGGCAAGGACACATCTGGCTTCCTTTCTTCATGGAAGGGCCAGCCAGCCAGCCACCCGCCTGTCTGCTCATCCTCCCTGGGAGCACAGCCCAGTCTTGAGTTGGGACTGGGGGCGGGGGGGCAGTCCCCGAGTGCAGAAATTGGAGGAGGGGGCTGCAGCAGACAGCTGGGTCCACCCACCCCATCCCAGGCCCCACCCATCCCCAGGTTCCTCCTCCGGACCCAGGTCCCAGGCCAGCAGTGTCCTCATTTCTTCCCCCAGACAGCGACTGGCCCACCCAAGGAGGGCAGGGGCCACAGCAGACTCCAAGGGGGCTGGACTCCTGTTCCTGCTGAACTGAGCCAGTGTGCACAAATCAACTGTGTTTCAGCTCAGTAGGCACGGGAGGCAGAGCCCAGGCAAGCCCCGAGGTTGGCCAGGCAGCAGATGGGGAGAGGTGGCAGGGCCAGAGGAGGCGGCAGGGCCCTGGGGGGGCGGAACTTAGCCACTGTGAACACAACTTGATGTGGACCTGCTCACAAGCAGCTAAGCCCTGCTCCCCAGGCCAGATGCAAGCAGTGGGGCCTCTCTGCCACCCCATCCCCATCCCCGGGGTCAGCGTCCTCAGCGGTGGCGGTGACAGTGGCGGCCCCGGAGTCAGGGCTCAGGGTCGGTTGGAAATCCCTGGCAATGTGATTTGTGACAGGTAGCAAATCCCATCCCCAGGAACCCCAGCCGGCCATGGCACCAGGGTTGAGGGGCAGGGCGCCGGGCAGGGCCAGCAGCTGGCACCTAGGAGAGACGAAAGGAGGTCATGAGATTTGAGGACACCTGCCCTCCACGTCCCCCCCTTGCTGCCATCCTTTGAGGTCTCGCAGAGAAGCCGTTTTCCCCATGTGCGTGCGTGCTGTCGCTTCAGTCGTGTCTGACTCTTGCGACCCATGAACTGCAGCCCGTCAAGCTCCCCTGTCCATGGGATTCTCCAGGCAAGAATACTGGAGTGGGTTGCCATGCTCTCCTCCAGGGGATCTTTCCGACCCAGGGATCAAACCCTCAATCTCTCGTCTCCTGCATTGGCAGGCGGGTTCTGTACCACTAGCACCACCTGGGAAACCCTTTCCCATGTGCAACAGCAGCTAAAGATACCACCAGGCTGGACACCCCCAGCCATGCTTCCCAGACTCAGAGAGGGAGAGATACCCAGGGGGTCACTTTCGGCCAAGGAAGCTGTAGAAACTCCCAGAGCCAGCCCCCCCTCCCTTCCTTGGCCGAGCCCCTACCCCCACCCCACCCGCAACACGGAGCCTTGGGCAGGCTAAACGGGGCCGTGGAGAGAGGAAGCTGAGGGGGTGGCGGGCAGGCGGCTGAGGAAGTGATCTCACCCCAGCTGGCGCCACTTCCTAGAAGCCTGAAGGGCAGGAGGAAACCACTAGGGCCTCCCCCCATGGCCCTGTCTCCTCAGCGGCCAGGCCTCAGCCCGCGCCCCACCAGAGCGGATGCCGACAGCGGGCACTCCACTCTCCCCGCAGGCACGCACGCACCCACCCAGAGCACCAAGACCCAAGCTCCAGGTACAGATCCCGGCTCCACGGTTTCCTAAATACCATCCTAGCCTCAGTCTCCCCATCTGCACAGTGGAGCCAAGAGCCTCTACCGGGTAACACGGCGAGGTTTCACCAACAGTACATAGCAACTACCCAGCACCAGGACTCCCTACAGAATTTATGGGACTCAGTGCAAAATGAATACTCGGGTGGGGAAAAAAAAAGAATACTTGGGGGCCCCTTGTTCACAAAATAAGAATTCCAAGATGACAGCAGCGTATCAAACCAAGTGCCAGGTCCTTCTCAGTGGGGAAACACCCTGTGAACCGAACAGGCCACCCACCGGTGACGCCAGCCCTGTGTTCAGTAAACAGAGACCTCTCGGAGGATGAGAGCCCTGTGGCCAGGAGCCCCGAACTCTGGAGCAAGTCCAGCTGCGTTTGAACCCTGGCTCTGCAGTGCACCAGCTGGGCGACACGGGGCAGGGAAGTCAATCTCTCTGGGCCTCCGTTTCCCCATCGGCAAAGCAGGGGCAATGCTGTGGTGAGGAACTCGTGAGCGCTGTGTATAATTGGGACGGGGCTACGCTGTCATCATTCCCCAAGCAGAAACAGGAAGGAGGATGGCATTCAGGACCCTGCACACGGGTAGGGCCTCGGCACCCAGATAGGACAGGGGGTGGCCACCCCCGGGAGACAGGTGGAGGGCGGTGTCCTGCTCTGCGCCGACCCCGCCATACACACACTACATATGCTGGCCACCCGCTTTACGGCAGGGCCCCAGCCCAGCCCTGACTCCTCAAGGTCTAGGGGCACCAACCGAGAGCAGACGAGGCCCTGCAGGGCGGCCGGCCTCCCTGGGCCGCCTCCGGAAGTGAGACAGCACATTCGTGTCCCAGGGACGAAACGGGAAGGGCGGCCATTTGGCCGGGCCCATTTCCTGTGGGGTTTCCCCTGCACAGAGCCCCGGGTCGGGGCCAAGGCCACTCCCCAATCCCCGCAGGCGCAAAAGGCCTGGGTCTCCAGTGCAGGGGGCACTACCAAGCAGGTGCCCAGGAGCAGGATGACCCCCCCATTACCATAGGCGTGCCCCCAGGCTCAGGGGAGACGGTGTCCAGGGAGGGCCAAGCTCCTGGCAGCTGGAGGCATTTGGGTGGGGGGGGGGTTGCAGGCGGAGGGCCCTTGGGCCAGGGGAGTAGGGCAGGCCCCAGGTCACACCATGGATGGATGGATGGATGGATGGATGGGTGTCTAAGTCCGCTCTGCAGACAGGGCGTGGACTTGAGAGACATACTCCGTAAGCCTACCCCCCCTCCAAACCCCATGCTCCAAGAATGAATCAGGGGCAGCTTCCGCCGGGGGCGCCACTGGCGCCGCCGCCGCCGCCCCCAAGCCTGGTCCCCAAATACTTTCCACCCTCTCAGAGCAGCTGGGATCGGAAAATACCAAGGGCCGCTGGCCCCGCCCTCCCAGCCTGTCACTAACGCTTTGCCTAATGGGCCCAGACTCTCCGCAGAGGCTCCCTGGGCCAGGCCCTGAGCCAGCCGCTAACCTGGGCCTTGCAGCCAAGTGCCGCCTGACCACCAGGGCCACCCCCCCCTGCCCCGCACCAATCACCCCCATCCCAAGGAGGCCACCATCACCACCAGCCCAACCGACAGGGCAGCCCTCGGAGGTCAGCACCCAGCTGAAGGAAGGCAGGACACTGGCAAGTGGGTGGGCCCCCACTGCCCACCCAGGGCTGAGGGGAGGGGGGCAGGCTCAGGAAGGGGTGAGTAAGTGAGGAGTGAATCACTTGTTATAAATAGGGGAACCGTGCAAGTCACATCTCAGCCCCCATGGTGCCCAGCCACGCCATGCTCCAACCCCCTGCCTTCAACTCTGATGACCCTCAGACTACTGATCACAGAATTCCCAGGGGACCCCTAACGTCCACACAGTGAGCCCTTCACTGAGGGGTACATGCTAGCACCGTGTTCACCTCTGCCTGATCCCCAAGCAGGTCCCTGTCCTGGCCATCTGGCCTGCATTTTGGGGGCCGCTGGCCTCGAGGGTAGTCGCTGGCTTTCAGGCCCGATCCTCCTCCTACGGCACCCCGACAATTTCCAGGCCCAAAGCTCTAGGTTCCTGGGCTCCCCAAGTCATTCCCAAGGTGTGGGTGACCACGGTCGTGGACGCTGACACCAGACCAAGGACAGGAGGCTGAGGGGCTTACCATCGCCAACCCAGGACCCCAGCCCAGACCACCCAGGCCTGCTCTGCCCAGGGCCACAGCTTGGTGACCACACCCAGGGTGGCGCCAGCTCCAGCACCCTGGGGCAAGGCGCCGCTAGAGCATGACTCAGCCGTGCCCAGCATGGCGGCGTCCTTCTCTGCCCAAGGATTCTCACACGCCCACACCCACTGGCTTCCGAGTACGTCCTTCCCAGGGGACCAGCCTTCCCCAGACACACCTCCATGATCACCCAGGACACCCGATGGCAGGAGGGAAGGTGGTCAGAGGGCCGCCCCCAAAAGGGATCTGAAGGCGAGGGCCTTGCACAGGGAGGGGAAGTGGACACATCTCTCCGCTCGCTTTCCCAATGCTTCCCATATACAGATGGAAAAGCTGAGGCCCAGAGGGTTCAGAGCCAGGCCCAAGGTCATGCGAGAAGTCTAAGGAAAAGCCAAGGCCTGATCCTGGCTTCAAGTGCACGCAGAGTGGGAAAGGGCTGGCCAGCCAGCCCAGAGAGGGGCCGGAAGGAATTTTCTCCAGACCGCCCAGGGTTCCTGGCGGCGTCCTTCGCTTCGAACTGACCCCCACCCAGCCTCCCAAGGTAAAGGGCAAACACTGAAAAATCTTACGGTATATCAAAGAATCACCTAGGCCCTCAGTGAGCAGGTCCACTGTACCCTTTGGGCCAGTGTCCCTCAGACTTCCAGGGGGGACAGGGGTCTGCCCCACAGCTGCGGCCCACACACATCTGGCCTTCACTTGCAACAGGTAGAGGTTGGTGGGGTGGGGTCCCACAGAGGACCCTTGGAGCATCCGTCCCTGTTGTTTCTTTCCACTGTGCAAGGGTCTGCGGAGACTCAGAGGCCGGGCCGGCACAGGCAGGCCCGACCCCCCTGGACACGCCCTGTCACGCATGTGCTCCGCGTGCCAGCCCAGAGCCAGGCCAGCAGCTATTTCGGGGGCCCCCTCCAGACCCACAGACAAGGCTCACCCACTGGGGTCTTGAGGGAGCTCCCAGAGGACATCCTGCAAGGACAGAGGGCAGTGGGTGCTCCTGGGGCGCTAGAAGAGAGCTGGCACGGAGCCCTAGGGCCCGTGCCTTCCCAGAACAGCGGCATGTGAACACATGCGCATGGGCTGGCCCAGGCATGGTGCGTGGGCGAGTGGACAGGGTGTGCCCTCCATCACCTCGCCTCTAAGCTCGGGCACCTGTTGGGGACTGCCCTCCGGCTTGGGCTGGCATCGGCAGGGCTGCCAGAGGACACCCTTAGGCCAAGGGGCCCAGCTTCCCCCTCAAAGACCACCAATCAGGAGCAGGCAGTTGGTTGGGGCTGGGGCAGAAAGGATAGGTGACACAGAGCCAACCGCACCTCCAAGATATTCAGGAAGCCACTGGGTCTGGGCCTGGCTGGCTTGCACCAGACAGGCAGTGTAGGGCTGAGGGGATTTGGTAGCAGTGGAGCCCAGCACTGGGGTCAGAGGTCAGTCTGGTGCTAGGATGAAGGGGTCTGGGTTCAGTCTGAGCCCTTTCACCCTCTTCTTGCACCCCAAGGGCATGGGAACCCCAAGCTACACAGGGCCGAGGAGTCAGCCCTCCAGGAAACTCCCAGAGGTGGGCCCCCTTTCTATGAATGAGCCTTCTTAGTTGGGCCAGAAGGTGTGAGAAGGGAGGAGAGGGGTCCCCCTAGTCCTCTTTTAAACCCAGGCTGGACTACTGGGTCCCCACTTCTCTCCTCTGGAGGGCCTCCCCACCCCCACACTGGCTGACATGTCAAGAACTTGAAGCACTGTCCTCCACCCGCATCCACAGAACTCTGGGAGACCCCCACTCACACAGCCCAGACAGGCACCTACCTTCCCAATCCCGGGGACGAGACACCATGTTCATTCCCTCCACCCCGAGGGGGGCACATACCCTCCCACCCAGCGCCCAACTCCGACCCACCTTGACCTGCCCCGATTCGCGTCGGGACCCGCCCTCCCCAGCACGCTCTGACGAATCTCCTGGGTCGGGGGAGTGGCTGGGGGGTCGCAGTGGGCCCTTGGGGACGGAGTAGAGGTGGGCCGCCCTTCCCCCGCTCCAAAGGGGGCGCCCCGGGACTCCGCGGCCGCCACCATCAGACCGGCCCCGCCGTCCCCCCAGCCACCGGCGGCGGGGCGCGGGGCAGCGCCCTCCCCCTCGCCAGGGCTGGGGGACCTGCCAGGCGCACCCCCCACTCCGCCCACGAGTCCAGCGCGGAAAAGTTGTCGCCGCCACCACGGCGCCGCAGTCTCCCTCCCGGTTGCTTCCCCGACTCACCCGCGGGGGAGGGGAGCCGGCACTCGGGGCTCCGGCCGCCGCCCCGGCCCGGCCGGCCGACACCCGGCCGGGCGGGCGGGCGGCGGGCCCGAGAGGGGCCGGGGGCGGTCGCCGGCCGCGCTCCATCCCACTCACTGGCCGGCCCGCCGCGGGGCCGAATCGCTTTTAAAACCTCCTCGTCTCCTCCCCTCCCGGGCCGGGCAGGGGGCGGGGGCGGGCGCGGGGCGGGGCGGGAGCCGCCGTCATGTGCCCCCGAAGCCGGTCCGCCCCCACTTTCTCTCTCCGGTCCCCCAACTCGGTCCCGTCCCCAACTCAGCCCTAACTTTTCCCTCCCTTGTCCCAAGTCTTTCTGAGCCTGAGTCTTAGCTCAACTTCCCCCTCTGCGTCCTGGGCTCGGGGATCCAGCCCCAGTTCTTCAGCGAACGCCCTTCCTGCTGGGATTGGGGGGGGTTCCTAATCCATATCGCACCCGAAACCCCTCTTGGCCGAAGTTCTGCTCCCCTGCGCAGGGAGAGAAACCCAGGAGGCCGTGGACAAGGAGAGGGTAGATGGTGGGGGCACAGTGCCACACTGCCACTGCAGACCCCTCCCTTCCCTGGGGGGCAGGGGTCCGGGGAATTCTGGGGTCCGGCCAATTACGAATCCCCACTCTATGAATTTATGCAGTGCGTTCTTTAGCTTCAGTAAGTCCCTCCTTTTATCCCACCCAACCCTCTCCTGCTGCCATTGAAGACTTGCTGACCCCGGTCCAGGTGGTCCCTGGCCTAGGTCCTCCCCCCAGCCCCTCCCCGCCAGGCTTCCCGTCATCCCCACCCCCCATCTACCCAGGGCCTCTGGGAAACTCCCAGCTCCTGGAGTACCCCTGGGAGAGAGCCCCTCCCTGCATCCCTCCCGCCTCCCCTTCGAGCCTGTCTGTCCCACCTCATCCTCCGCGGACCTCCCCTCAACCGGGAGGAGGAACACCGAGGCATTGTTCACCAGGACGGGGCCCTGCCTTGGGGCCTGGCCCCGTGCCCAGGTGGGGGGCCGGGAACAAAACTCAGCGAAGGAGGGGCGGGGTGCCCTGTGCCGCCAAGCCAGCCTCCTTGGGCAGGCCCGGATGCCACTTTGCCCTCTCCAAGATGGGATGGGAGCCAGTGGCCCGCAGACCACCACCACCAGCACCATGATGCCACAGCAAGGTTCTATGGCCTGAGGACCCTTCCCAGACCTATGTGGGTATTGCTTTGGGAGACAGGTTTCCTCCCACCCACCTCCAATATTTCCGAAGTCATATAATTGGGGCCAGAGGCGGGGGTGTGTGTCAGATTCTTCATAACCCACCTCCTGGGCAACAAAACTAAAGCTGGGATGGGGGGTACTCGGCGGGAGGGCCCAGGCAGAAGACTGGAGGGGCTGGTTGAATGCCTCTGGGTCACCTCACACCCCCAGAATTCTTCCAGACTCCCTCATTTCCGCAGTTCAGCTCAACAGGTTCCCCACTTTGGATCTCGGTGGGATTGGGGAGAGAGGGGCAGAAGCCACACCTAGCTACTATCCCATGGGGCCCAGCCCTGGGGGCTCCCGGGTCTTTCTTCTCTGTGGGGCCCAAGGGGCAGGCTGGCCCAGGCTGCAGGATCTGGCAGGTTGGGGCAGGAGGGGGCAGAGCCGCCTGTGGGGCCCCAGGGGAAGATTTGGGGTGGCACAGAATTCCCCGACTCAGGGCGGGGCCCTGAGGGGGTGGGGCACTCACCACAGGACCTCCTGAGCAGCCACAAACAGGGGAATGGAGTTCCCAGGGTCCAGGGTCTTAACTGTGGACACATTCGTGCACATGCGTGCTTGCGCACACACACAACCCATTCTAAAAGTATAAAGTGACCAAATTACGATAGGGCACTTCCTCCACACCACCTCTCCAGAGCACTCCCTTTATACCCTGGGACAAGATCTCCATCGAGAACCATCCTCCTGTTTTTATTAGTCCAATCAGGCATACATGTAGGGGAAATGCCTCCTCCAGGCTGGCCTCCAGGGATAACTATGCCAACTGCACCTTCTGCCGTTACCCTGCACGTGGCTTGGACCACAGCAGCTCAACATCCCTCAGCCCAAACTTGGGAGGGTCCTCCCAGTGTCCTCAGCCCTCCATCTGGATTCTGAACATTTGCCCCCACCAACCCCCTCCACCCTGGTCCTAAGCTGGCCAATTTACCCAGGGACAGCAGCCAAGAGGGATCAGAGCTCTCCAAACCGGCCAACTGATTCTTTGTAATGACGGGGACGGGTGAGAGGACAGGGCCAGGGTGAGACCAGGCCAAGCGGTCAAGTGGCACAGGGTGCACACACACACCCATTTGTTCATTCTTCAAACATTCATTGAGTGCCTGCTGGGTGCCAGGTGCTGTTCTGGGCACTGGGGACAGAGCAGAGAACAAGCCAGAAAAAAAACCCTGCCCTCATGGAGTCCACATCAATGGGGGAAATACAGGCAGTAAACAGACAGGTATAAAGATATATAATGTGTTGGGTGGTACTTAATAGGGGAGACTAGAAGGGGGCTAAGAAGATGAGGAGAGGGGACTTCCCAGGTGCACTAGTAGTAAAGAACCTGCCTGCCAATGCAGGAGATGTAAGAGACGCGGGTTGGATCCGTGGGTTGCAAAGATCCCCTGGAGGAGAAAATGGCAACCCATTCCAGTATTCTTACCTGGAGAATCCCATGAAGAGAGGAGGCTGGTGGGCTACAGTCCATAGGGTCGCAAAGAGTCCAACACAATTGAAACTACTTAGTATGCAGGGAGATGAGGAGTGAGGGGTTGGGGGCAGATCAAGAAAGGCTACCCTGAGGAAGAGGAGGTGACATTTGAACAAAGATTATAAGAGGTGGGGAGAAGCCACGCAGACAGCTAGAGGAAGAGAGTTTCGGTAGAGAGGGAACAGCCAGTACAAAGGCCCTGAGGCAGGAAGTTCCTGGCGTATTTGAGAAACAGCATGGAACCAGTGTGGTAGAGTGGGGAGGGGAGCAGAGTGGCAGAACTGAGTTTCCAATTCTTGCTCCCCAATTCCTAGCTGAATAGCTTTGGCCAAGTGATCACCTCTCTGAACTTCAGTTTCTTTATTCATGGAATGGACCTGAAAATGTAATTTTTAGGGCTGTTAGGAGATTCTGAGATGAGCTGTACCATGCCCCAGCCCAGGGCTTGAGGCAGGGTAGAAGCTGGACAGGCGTAAGGACATAGGTACACCACTTCACGTAGCCATTCAGACCTGGGATGGGGAGGATGGGTCAAGGGACCCTGACGGACTCAGTCGCCCTGTAGGTCACCCTGGCTCATATGCAGGGCCGCCAGCCGGGCCCCATGGCAACGCGGCACACAGAGACATCAAACAGGCCCTGCCGAGGAAGTCCCACGTCACTGTGGTTAGGGTGGCTCCTCCCAGCCCAGCCCCCGGCTGGCGCTGCGCTCCTCCTTGCCAGTCAGGGCCCCTGCCTCCTGTCACCCTGGTGACAGGCTGTGTTATGGACTGAGCTGGGATCCCACCACCTGCCCCCTCACTAGGGCCCTAGTCACTGCCCACATCCGGAGGACATTATGCAGTGGCCCCAGTTCACTGCCACTAACCCTTTCATTCAACCGCCCCAAATTGGTGTTGGGAGCAGCAGGAAAGCTCTGGTCTATCCACCTACAGTGCAGAGGGCCAGAGAGGCCCCTGTGGGGTCCCCCAGCCGGGGGCCTGAAATCCCCAGAGCAGGGTCCATTAGGGTACCTGCCAGCTCCTGGGGCAGGGGAGGGGTGAGTCAGATAGGAATAGCCCCCCAGGCCTAGCCCAGCCCCCACCCGGGAACTGATTCACCACCTATCCAGCACCAGATGACATCAGGGTCTGGCGGGCCACCCTCACTTGGCACCGGGCCAGAATGGGGGGTGCCCCAGAGGTGTCACAGAATGCCGCCTTCTCCCCTCTGACTGGGGCCCGGCAGGCGCAGGGTTAAGGAGGGGCCCTCCTGGGGGTCTGCCCCCCATCCCACCCCCCCTTTTCCCGGGGATTTCGGGCCCCAGCCCCTCTGACGTCACTGGGGGTTGCTATGGCAACTGCCCGAAGTTCCCAAATAAAATTACCGCGGGCGGGTTAAGTTTCCTAGGAGGCAGCAGACGGGTAAACAATGGCGGTGGCAGGCGGGGCCGGCGAGGGGCTGTCTTCCCCTCCCACTCCTCATTCTGCTGGGACCAGGGGGGGTCCCCGGGGCGAGGAGGAGGGTCCCCTCCCCGACCGGGTCCCGAGAGCCCACGAGCACCCGGGGCACTGGCGCCCAGATGAACAGGGAGGCCACCGCCGAGATGAGCAGGGGGGACCTCAGAAGGGAGGCTGGGGCGGCGGGGAACAAAGGAGGGACCTGAGGCCGGCGCTCCGCCCTCTGCGCACCCTGCCCCCCCCACCCCCGCCCCCCAGCCGACCGCCAGTCCAGCTGTGGCTGCTCCCAGCTGCCTGGCTCCCCACATCTGGCGGGCTGCGCGCTCACTTCCTGTCGCCCTGGCTGCCTGGAGGGAGGTAAAAATAACCCTCCCCCTCCCCCTGCCGGCGGGCGCAGACGGCGGATCCTCCTGGCTAGGAGGAGGCCGGGGCCGAGCCGCAGCGGGGGAGAGGAGCCCCCCTGAGGCCGACTCCCGTCCCTCCCACTGCCTCGGTGTCCTGGGAGGAGGGGCGCAAAGGAGGTGGCACAGATCCCAGGCTGCAAAAGAGGGCTGAGGAGTCTATTGCCTTAAGAAGGCCCGCACCTGGGCCACCAAGAAACCGAGGAAACCCTGGCCTCTGAGTCCCATCCCCTACCCCATTACAGGTCACCTCTATTCGGCCGCAGAACTGTAAGCCACGCGCTTAGGTTCCAGCTGGGGGTCACGCACTTATTAGGTATAGATTTGTTCAGTTCAGTTCAGTCCAGTTGCTCAGTCGTGTCCGACTCTTTGCAACGCCATGAACTGCAGCACACCAGGCCTCCCTGTCCATCACCAACTCCAGGAGTTTACTCAGACTCATGTCCATTGAGTCAGTGATGCCATCCAACAATACAGGGAGAAAAAAAAAAAAAACCTGTAGGCCTCGGTTTACCTGTCTGTAGAACAGGGATGATAGTAGTACCTACTTCAAAGGGTATTCACTCCATCTTTGTTATATTATCATTTCCCCATGCCCAGAGTCCCCTAAGACCCTCAAGTACTCTTCCCAGATAAAATACAGGACACCCAATTAAATCAGATTTTCTTTGAATCATTTCATATCAGTATGTCACATGCAATAGTTGGGCCATACTTTATCAAAAAAAAATTTTTTTTACTTGCTTTATAACTGAAAATCAAATCTAACTGGGTCTCCTGTATTTTTATTTTTTTTCTCCTGTATTTTTATTTGCTAAATCTGGCAACTGTATTTCTGAGCCATCATCATCTCTGGCATGAAAACTCTCCAACTGTCTGGTCTCCCTTGTCTCCTTGCTTACAGCTTTACTCCATCCATTCTCCAGAGAGCCAATTAAATCCAATCACATTTCCCTTCTACCGTCCACTGGGAAAAGTTCCTCTGTGGTCCCCCTTGTCACCTTGCTTGTCAGGGTCCCACCTTCTTTCCAACCTGCCTTTCACACCCACCTGTCAACTGCCAACTTGTTGAGATCCTAGGCCACCACCCCCTCCAGGAAGCCTTCCTCACCTCCTGCCACAACCCTCTGACTTTGTACTCTCCGGGGACGCTAAACACTTCTGTCTCCCCACTCAACTGTTTGAATGATATGGTCAAGAAAACAAACATTTCTTAAATGATGCTAAGGTAACCGGGGTTGGGGGTGGGGAATGTACCTGTCCACCTGGCCTCATTGTTACCTACTCTTTTCCCTGCTCCATGGGATCTGGGGCCCTAGGAAACCCCTCAAGCAGCCCCCTTAGGGGTCCTGTGGGCAGCTGGATGGCGGCTAGTATGGGTCCTGGGAGCCTAGAGTTAAGTGATGCTGACTCTTGGGGGACTCTCTCCTGCCCTCAAGTAGCCTGGAAGCCTGGGAGGGGACTTGGCACAGCCTTGCATCAACAGCCCCCAAAGAGCCCATCTGGCCCATCTAAGCTCCAGTGTGGACTCATATCCTTGCTGGAAACTCCCACAGATATGACTGCCCCCAAGAGAAGGCATGCACCCCCCTGAGAGGACCGTAGGAGCCCAAGTCACCCTGCCTGGTTTCAAGCTTGGTGCCCTGCCTCCTCTGGTGAAGGATTGTGCCTCTCTGTGACTTAGTTTCCCCATGTGTCAAATGGGAATACCAGTGGACCGTCAGAGGGCTATCGTGAACATTAGGTAATGTCCATAGTGGTAAAGAATCTACCTGCCAATGCAGGAGATGCAAGAGACACCAGTTTGATCCCTGGGTCAGGAAGATACCCTGGAGGAAGAAATAGCAACCTACTCCAGTATTCTTGCTTGGAAAGTTCCTTGGACTGAGGAGCCTGGAGGGGTATGGTCCATGGAATCACAAAAAGTCAGACACCACTGAACGACTGAGCACGCGTGTAGAACACAGCTTAGAACATAGAACGTGCTCACTGTTAACCTACTCTGAGGGTGGGGGGGTGGTGAAAAGTCAGAAGCCCTGATTACAGCCTTCCTGACCGCCAGCCACCCCTAGGTCAGCTCCCCAAATCCCTCTAGGAAAATGGCTTTGACCTCTTGACAGTAGCTCTAACCTAACTTCTCAGGGTTCATCTCACACCACAGAGAGTCCCTAGTGCCATCCCCTGGCTCTGGCATCGGCTTCTTGAGAACCAGAGACAGGTCTGCCTTTAATCCCGCTGCCAGTGAACCACCATCTCCTTCGCCCTCATCTCTGTGTCAACCAGGACTGTAGACCTGATCTGAATCCCTAATCTGAGTAAAACCACCGGGTCCCGGAGCCTCTCACAGCTCCCACCCGGCTGGAGGCTCGAACCCGTGTCCTCGAGCTCAGACCAGGAGGGGAAGCAGCGGCGGTTGCCGGGCAACGCGCTGTTTGTTGGCGCGGGGGGCGGGGCCGGCGCGCGCGGTGACTCACAGCGGCGTGATGCTGGCGGGCGCGGCGCCCGGCAGCCTGGCGGGCGGCCCGGCCCAGGCTGGCCCCGGCGGCTGGAGGGGCCGGTCGGCGGGGGCGCCCCAACCTCCAAGTGGGCGCCCAAGGCCGGTTGGGAAGTGGCAGAACAAGCCCCGGCTGCCGACATCGGTTCGAATTTCTGCCCAGCCTTTCACTCTCGGGTGTGACTTAGGCACTCCTTGCCTCAGTTTGGTCATCAGTAAAATGGACGCGACATTACAGGCTGCAGTAACCCATTACTGGGCTACAAAGCAGCTGGGATCATTACATATTTACACTGTCGGGCATCACTTTGTGCTCTGACTTGGTTTGATCTCGTATATTAGCAAACTTCATAATCTTACCGAGACTCAGTTTTCCCATCTGTTAGAGTAGCAAGGACGTCTCACCTTTCCAGTGGTTTGGAGAGTCCACCAATCAGTAGTGAGACAGTAGCTGGCATATCTCAGTACCAGGGGTCTGCCCCCCGCCCCCCCCGCCCCCCCCGCCCCCCCCCCCCGCCCCACCAAGGACCAGAGGGACCGTGGGAAGTTTTTCTCCGTGGTCCGAGCCATGTAGGGTGGGGAGGGCAGGAGCCCCTGGAAATAAGTGAGTGTGGATCACAGGCCCAGGGTAGGATGGCATGAACCTGGCTGCTGGGGCCCCAGTCCTGAAGTTGGCGCTGGCAGCACCTGCTGCAAGGGGGCAGGAGGGAGGCCTGAGCGTGAGTCACTGCCCAGCAATGAGGAGTGAGTCACGCAGGGCGTGGTCCCCCGGCAGCCCCCCCACCCCAGCGTCCCAGCCGCTCCCACAAAGGCCCTTTGAGAAAGTTCCCCACTCCCCTCCCCCAGACCCTGGGCCCTCTGGGGGAGACTGTGCTGTGGGGCCAGGGCCCTAGTGGGCTGCCCCCAGGACCCCCGCCTGGGCCGGGGAGGCGCCAGCCTGCTTCTGCAATGTCTGTGAAGAGTCCCGTGGGCAGCAGAGTGTCCCCAGAGAGGGGGCTTTTAGGTCGCCTGAGTCACTCGGGGGACAGTGGAGGGTCACACGCATACAGTGGGTAGAGTTGAGTCAGGCTGTCTGGTTGGGCATGTAGGCCGCGGCCCTTGGAATCATTCTTCCCACCCCGGGAGAGCCTGCAACTCAGGGAAGCCCATGACTTCTGGTAGGAAACAAGGGTACTGGCGAAATATCTCGGCATAGCTCCCTGACTTTGCTAGTCCCCGGCCTAGGCATCCTGTCCTTGCTGTCCCTCTGGGTTTTTTTTTTTTTTGAGGGGGTGGGGTGGGAGGGTGGGGTTTGGCCACACAGTGTGGCATCCAGGGTCTTAGTTCCCGGACCAGGGATCGAACCTGCCGCTCCTGCAGAAGAAGTGCAAAGTCTTAACCACTGAATGGCCAGGGAAGTCCCAGTGGTTCTTCTTAAGCTTGGTGTGGGAAGGACAGCAGGGCCTCAGCTAGGCTGAGAGAAGAGATGCACCCCACTGAGGGCAAAATTTATGGGGACATCCAAACACTCAGCGTGTGTGTGCTCAGTCGCGCAGTGGTGTCCGACTCTTTGCGACCCGGTGGACTGCAGTCTGCCAGGCTCCTCTGTCCATGGGGATTCTCCAGGCAAGAATACTGGAGTGGGTTGCCATGCCCTCCTCCAGAGGATCTTCCCAACCCAGGGGTTGAACACACGTCTCTTATGTCTCCTGCACTGTCAAGCAGGTTCTTTACCACTAGTGCCACCTGATTACTAAATATTTTTTATAAAACTCTATTGAGATAAAATTCACATGCCATATAACTGACTTTTTTCTATGTACAATTTTTATTATTTTTTCTGGCCACGATGCTTGGTTTGCAGGATCTTTGTTCCCCAATCAGAGATTGAACCCACACCCTCTGTGGTGGAAGCATGGAGTCTCAAACCACTGAACTGCCAGAGCAGTCCCCAATGAACCTATTTAAAGTAAATAATTCAATGTTTTTAGTATATTCATAGAATTGTGTAACCTTCACATTTTCATTAACCCCCCAAAGAAACTCAGTACCCATACACCATCACTCCCCAGATGCCCCCATCTCCCCCACCCCCTGGTACCCCTACACTCCTTTGTCTCTATATATGAATGGACTCATACAGTGTGACTTAATGACTAGCTTAATTCAGTTTTCAAGATGTGTTCAAGTTGTGGCATGTATCGCAACTTCACTCCTATTGATTGCCAAATCATATGTGGTATAGATACACCACATTTTAAAAAATCCATTCATCAGTTAATGGACATTTGGGTATTTTTCACTTTTTGGCGAACATGAATAATGTTGCTATGAACATTCGTGTACACACTTTTGTGTGGGAAATCAAATAATAGACAGGGTTTGATAGGGTGGGGATTAGGGAAATGTGAGTGAGGTGAGTCATCAGAGGGCAAAATTGAGTCCTGTCTAGATCTGTGCTGTTACCAGTGAGGTTGCCACTTGTCACTTGGCTGTTGGGCAGCTGAAACCTGGCTGTTCCAGACTGAGATACGTTGTATGTATAAAGCTTGTTTTCAAGAATGTGAAATATCTCAAGAATTTTTTAAAAATCTTGATTACATGTTGAAACCATGCTATTTTGGACATGTCAGGTTAAATCGAATATATTATCAACATTCATTTCACCTGTGTCTTTTTACTTTTTGTAATGAGGCTACTAGGGGACTTTTCCAGTGGTCTAACAGCTAAGATTCTGAGCTTCCACTACAGGGGATACTGGTTTGATACCAGGTTGGGGAACTAAGATGCCACATGCCACTCAGTGTGGCCATAAGACCCTCCCAAAACAAAAAGAAGCAAACCTGTAATGCGGCTACTAAAAATTGTTTTATTACACACGAAGCAGCTCACATCTGTGGCTCTGTTGTTATTGTTTAGTCGCTAAGTCGTGTCTGACTCCTTCGCAACCCCATAGACAGTAACCCACCAGGCTCTTCTGTCATTGGGATTTCCCAGGCTCAAGAGTACTGGAGTGGGTTGCTGTTTCCTCCTCCAGGGGATCTTGCCAAGGATCTTCCCAAGGTTTGACCCAGGGATCAAACCCAAATCTCCTGCATTGGCAGGTGGATTCTTTACTGTTGAACCATGAGGGAAGCCCGTTCGTGGCTTTCAAAGTATACAGCACTTCTGTTGGAGAGTGCTGGGCTTGTTGCCTGTTTCTCTCTCTTCCTTACTTCTCAAGGGGCTGCCTGATCACACCAAGTGGTGAGTCAGGCCAATGCTCCCAGTCACCTCTGTCGTCGACCTCTATACAGAATCTGTCACCTTTCGGGAGCTCCCTTGCAGTCCAGTGGTTAGGACTCCGCCCTTCCACTGCAGGGGGCATGGGTTGGATCCCCGGTCAGGGCAGTAAGATCCCACATGACGCACGGTGTGCCAAAAAAAAAAAAAAAAAAAAAAAGACATGAATCTGTTACCTTTGCCTACTTCCTCCTTGGCCGCAGGACACTACATTCTCCTGGTGGCCTTTCTCCTCCTCCTCCTCAGTCTTTTGAAATGCCTCTCAAACACTCTCCTCCCCAGGCATAGCTTTGGTCACCACGTGTTGATGACCTTCCTCTCCAATTATCTCCTCGAGGGGGCCCTCAGGTGTCTCTGACTCTGTCCACTCATCCTTCCTCCTCGGTTCCTCAGCCCCCACACTTGTCCACCCCTGAGACCTGTCTGCCTCCTGAGGCTGCCTGTTTCCCCCTGTTCCCCCAGGGCCTCCATCCGAATTCAAGCCGGTGGACAGCCAGCCCACGGGTCTCCCCGTTGGCTTCTGCTTCCACTCATGTCCTTGTTGCTATGTACTTCGCCTGGTGGACCTGATCTCGCACTCTTGCTGATCACCTCCCACTAAGTCTGATATAGCGTGATCTTAGACAAGGGTTACACAACTTGTATGCATGTGTTAAAACTCAGAGAACCGTGTAAAGGCAGAAGTTTACTCTATGTAAATAATACCTCGATATATTTAACTAAAAATAGTAACCCAGACTTGGTGATACAAAGATAAAGAATCCGCCTGCAAATGCAGGGGACACGAGTTCAGTCCCTGATCATGGAGTATTCCACATGCCGCAGGGCAACTAAGCCCGTATGCCGAAACTACTGAAGACCGCATGTCCTAGAGCCCGGGCTCTGTAACAAGAGAAGCCACTGCAAGGAGAAGCTCGAACACAGAAACTGGAGAGTAGCCCCCACTCACCGCAGCTGGAGAAAGCCCATGCACAGCAATGAAGACCTAGCACAGTCATAAAAAAATAAAAATTAAAAAAATAATAATAATAAAACCCTCCAAATCTTCCCACCCTATACTTATATCTAAACTCCTCACTGACCACCAAGGCCCTGCATGACCTCACCCCCTCCAGAAGCCTTCTCTGATTGCACTTCATCCTCCAGATTGGCCCCACGCCTCCCCAATACTCCCTTATGCTTCTGGCTTTCAGCACTGAAAACTCTTCATTGCAGTTGGCTAGCTACGTGACTGTCTGCCCCACCTGACTGCGGCAGGCAGGCAGGTGCCATGTCATTTTGTTCTCCAACATGTCAGAAATGCGGTGATGATCAATACATCCAGACAACAGTTTGAGACTCTGCTCTCAGTGCCCCCAACATATAATGTTCAAAGGTGATAGGGTGGACTTCCCTGGTAGTACAGTGGCTAAGGATCCATCTTGCAATGCAAGAGACATGGGTTCAATCCCTGGAAGATTCCACATGCTATGGGGCAACTAAGCCCATGTGCCACAGCTAATGAGCTTGAGCTCCAGCAGCCCTTGAGCCACAACTGCTGAGACCACGTGCTGCACCTACTGAAGCCTGTGCTCTGCAACAAGAGAAGCCACTTCCATGAGAAGCCCACACGCCACCCACCAGGAGAGTAGCCCCTGCATGCCGCAGCTAGTGAAAGCCTGAGCATAGCAATGAAGACACGGCGCAACCAAAAATGAAAATAAAAACGATAGAGTGATGAAAAAGAGAACAAGATAAAGCGAGGGGGTGGGATTTTAAATAGGGGCATCAGGGAAGGTCTCACTGAGGACATGATATTTAAGTAGAGACCTGAAGGAAGTAAGGGAGGCAGCCTTGTGGGTACCTGGGGGAAGAGAGTCCTTAGCAGAGGGAAGGGCCAGTGCAAAGGTCCTGAGGCCGGACAACACCCTGCGTGTTTGTGG